CATTGAGATTGCCATCACGACCACAGCAGCGGCCGCCCTCAGCAGTCAGCACACTCACTCAGTCACCACTGCAAGTGGAATCAATCCGTCAAGGTCCGATTCGGGGCCAATCAAATCCCAAACACAACGCTATTAGCCACAGTCAACACAACAGAGGCTGCGGTCCGAGTGAGACTTAGGGGCTGGACTCGGGGCCGACCCACTCGTGTGATGACCGCGTGTGCGTATGCAGTCCTCGGGCCGCCAGCTGCCTGGACCAAGATCTGCAGGATTTAGACTGAGCGACGTTCTGAGGCTCGACTGTGGAGACGACGCGCTCTCTTCTGAACGCCGACTGGCTTCACATTGGCAGTGCATGTTGGCAAGTGACACAGCGGGTCGGTTGATGTGTCTCGCAACGCAGGGGCTTGCTACCATATGTAGCATCCACTTGCTGACCGCAGGCACAACCAGCCCAGAAGCATACTGTAGTAGGTAGGCGATGGCATTTCGGATGCTTCGTTGTCGGGCAACACCACACCACACCACACCTGGCAGACTGCACCCGCCAAGACGGGCGCGCAACGTCCACCATGGATCCCCCGCCCCCCTTCATGGAGGACCAATTAGGCAAGGAAATGGTTTTGCTGCACATCGGAGATATATCAGCCGATGTTTGGATCTGAAGTTTGAAGCATGTCGCCATGAGTTTCCCGAAGCGGTTGAAGGGGGCAGTCAGAAAACGGGGCGAAACAGTGTCAGTACCGCGACGGGCTTGGTGGTTGAAACAAATTCGAGCTGGGGTGCAAGAGGCCCAAACGATGAGATCATATCCTAGAGATGGCGCTATCACCCCGGCAGATGCTCTCCATGTGTGGGTGGTTCGGTCGGTCCGTCGAGGAGCCAAGCTTTGGCTACAAGCCGTGCCTGGCCTGGCCCTGCCACCGGTCCCGAGCAGATGCCCGAACTAGAGCGTGAGATTCAAAATCAGACGGCACCAAGCCTCGTGCTGCGCACAAGGCGGCGCACGGGGTGCTCAACCAAGTGCCGAGGCGGGCTGGGACTCCTGACGATCTCAATGACTCGATGTGGACTATTGGGCCGACAAGCGCAGCGGTATCAGGCACGGCACGGCCTGGGCTGCACGTTTCTCTTGATGTTTATCAGGCATTCTTGGCGTCGCCAACGCCGAACCGTCCCTACATCACGCACCGGCGCCCCGGGATGGGCAGCCACTTGCGTACAGAGCCCTTCTTTTCGGGCCTGAGCAACGCCGTCGACCGAACGCCCCGAGCCTATTCCTTATTGATGCGAGATGGAAATTACTCCACAGACAGCGATCAACATCCTATATATAAACTCTGGTGAGTATGTGCGCGTGCATGCGCCAGCGTTCAGTCGGAGTCGATGCTACCCAGGGCCGCAGGCTTCTAGTATTGCCAGTTAGCCCTTGGCTCTGGCTCGCCTATTTCCCGTGTAGCACCTCCCCCCGCGTCTGATCAAGGTAATATCTGTGTAGGTGGCAGTCTGGGGCTCAACCTGGGGCTCAACCTTACTCAGCTACAAGGACGCTACACCATCCTGAAACACACCGGGGAGCCCTCACCCCGCGAAGACATGTGCCGTCTGATTTGCCCTTGAAGGAACTAACGTCAGCGAGAGACGTGAAATGCGAACTTGTGTCTTCTCATATCTCGTCCAACTATTGGGAACAATCTTTTTTTGGCAACCTGTTCAATGCCAATAGTCCCGCTTTCGCGGCTGATGGGTCGGTTTGTCCAGATATCGAGAATGTCGGTCTCGGTCATCTCGGGGCAGATGACTTGCAGGAGATGGCAAGCCGGAAGGATTATGATACGCTGCAGTGGCTGTCAAGGCCCTCTGACAGCCTTGGGAGGGTGGGACTCATAACAAACTCTAAATCCTACAGACGTGCTCCAGCGCGGATATACCCACATACGTTGCGCATAGCAGCCCGACCCAGTGGGAGATCGTACACTCAGCTTACTGTACCAAGAGCTATCACGTCACACTCGAGGCTGAATCGGCCGCGAGGCGATGGTGCCATCCACCAGACTCAGCCGCCCCCGGTGGTAATGGTGGTGGTCGGAGGGGAGAGAGGATTGCTTCCCTGTCGTGACTGGGCGAACCACCAATGGGCTGTTGTGTCCACGCTTCTGCTCGCATTTGGACAGTCAACTCAGCCTTGGTGGGCGAGCGAGTGTGTTCGTACAGACCCGAGTTCGAGTTGAGGCGTGTCAAGTTCATGTTCGCGACCGGGCCGGCCGTCAAGCAACCCCCTCCCTTCTTCCCACAATGCATTCCCATGCGAAGCGGACCGAGCTGGCTGTGCATGCTAAGGTTTGGCAACGTAGAAGTGAGGGCATCCGCGGAATCACGGAAGGGACGGCGAGCATACACTGCCCTCCTGCTTCTGAAATCGGATGGAGCGACAGTGACGCGAGGCTGGTCTGGGAAGGCTGTTTCTTGAAACCGAAGCGAGCATGTCCAAAAGCCAACTGGGCCTGCCAGGGTGGATGCTGGTGCATCCCGAATCTTGGCCGTGTCCACACCCACGGCTGACTGGACCTGATCCTGGAGAAAATCACCGTGAGCTTATCGCGACGGAACCTTATTGTGAAACTTTGCTGTCCTTTCGTCGTCCATTCCTCCCTCATCGACATCGACATTGACATCGATCCAACCCAACAGCGCAGCGCGTGCCTGCGGTCATCATCTCACATCTCACATCTCACAGCCTCAACCGACCTCCCTCAGGCCCCGAGCCCCACACCACGCACGATCAATTCATGCAGGCCAGCACGCTGGACCGAGATACGATGCTGTTCCTCATTGCAGATCACCTACACACCCATCCATCCTCTCACTCACTCTAGTCTCTGGTGCACCCGCGACCGGTATTGCTTCTGTTGGTGGTGGGCCTGGGACGAGCGAGCCAGTCCGAGCGCTGAGCCGGCCGTCCAGCCGCCTGCCCCTTGAGATGATTTTCACAGTTTTGGACATGCGTGCGCAACAGCCATTTTGACTCTCGAGTCTGCCTTGCGGGCGCGTCTCAAAACAGACTTCCACTCCAGGCCTTCCCACGAGATGGTTTCTGATATCTGATCAACTGCCCTTTATGGATGACTTTAGACGAAAGGTTACAAGGCGCACAGCCAGCAACTTGGGACGATTCTGGGGACGTATCTTTTTGCTCACTGACAGGGTCCCAGGTGGCGCCGCCTGGTACCCCCCGCCACGCCCAAAGGGGCAAAAATCTGAGCGTAGCCGCTGAAGGAGGGGGCGTCCAAGCTGCAGGATATGCCGTTGTGAAAAGGCGTGGCGTTAGTCGGTCTGCCAGCGGCCTGGTCCTGCGGCCTGGCGATCATTTACAGTTTCCTTGCATGAGCGCCGAGCCTTGCAGGAACCTAGTCACTATCGTCCTCACCTGTACTGGCCGACCCACCACGCCGACCACACCTGGCCTCGTGGTATCCGTCAACATAGGCCTTTTCCTGCGCAGAGCCCGCATCGAGCATGTCGTGCGCCAGCCGACGGCTCCGAGAGCTCCCCGGGAGGGCCAGCCAGCCCTCTCTACCACCCTCCTCCTCCTGAGGGAGCACAGCATGTCCCAGGCGGGGATATAACGACGTGCTGCTGTTCCGAGCACTTGGTTCCGGCCCGTGATTGGGCAGGCCAACCCATGCTCGCTCTCTGTGTCTCTGCCACCAGGGGAGGGCCTTCTCTCCACGCCGTCCTAGCCCGCGGGTGGTTGGGCAGGTCGCGAAGAAAGAGCGACCGTCTTTCACATGGAGCGCCACAGGGCATCCCGAACGGCATGCACGGGCGCTATTTCGAGGGTCCTCGCCCTCTTTACGTGGGTGGTATTCGTCCGTTGGCAAACTTTCATCCCACAGTTTGACAGAGTAAATTTACCCTGTGTCATCTATTGATTGGGCCTTGTCCCTCACTGAAACTCGTGTCAGCTAATCTTCACAGGTTTCGACGCGTGGGCGCACACTTCTATCTTCTTGGAAGGTCTTTGAGGCATCTGATCTCGCCCCTGTCTTTCGACGCTTCCAAGAAGCTTCGGGACCTAGCCCAACCGGTTGCCGTGTGGGCCTTGCCCACCACCCACTTATCGTCACCGCGGGTGTCTGTGCGATCAACGCTCGAGTGGCTACTCCCTCACCATGGGCAGCCGCCTCGTATCCTTACTCGTAACGTCGAACGCCCACAGCCGTGCATCTTGTAGAGCGACCTCCCGCCAGCAAAGCTCCCGCTGGTCGTCATCGACGATTATCCGTGTCATCGTTAGACCGCATTCGAAACAGTTGGGATTATCTAGCCTCTTGCCCTGTCCCCGGTGCACTTGCTAATTGCACGCACCTTGGCCCGTCTTACCGGCTCCCTTCGTCTTTGAGGCCAGACCCACTCGCTGCGGCTCACATCCGCCGACCCATGTCCTCGCTCGCGGCTGAAGTTGTCACCCCTGAGCATGTCAGCTTGCCTTCTGGGCGCCCCAGACCTGCCCATCACCACCCAAGACAAGGATGGCTCCCCTTATCTGCTTAGCTCCCTGCTCAGAGGCACCGCCTCAGCAATGGTAGGGTCTATGTATGTCTGTATCTCCTCGACTTTCTCGATATGACATGGGCCGAGTTCCATCCCATCCTCTCTCTTCACAAGGCCGTTCAAGGAACAAATCTTGCTGTAGCACTCGCACGATCGGGAAACCATTGCTCTCCGCTTCCCAACTCGGACACGATTGTTCATTAAACAATTTCCTTTTCCTCCATTCCGGCTCGACCCCTCCTTCCAACTATCTTCCATCTCTCCTCGTTGTCTTGATATCATCTTGCCCACCCGTATCTGGTCACAAGCCTCAACAGTACTTACACCACACCGATCACAACATCTACCACTGTCCCCAGCCGCGTCCGTATCCTCGGTCGAAGTAAATTACGCGTCTTCCTACCCGTGGTCGTCATTGTCTCACTTGTTGATCAAGTCGTGGCACCATGGTCTTCTGCGCGTACTGCGGGAAGAGCTTCACCCGCAAAGAGCACCTAGAGAGGCACATCCCAAGCCGTAAGCCTCCACCTCCCTGCAGAGCCAAGGGTTGTTCTTAACTGACCCAACACCCCATAGACACCAACGTGAAGCCTCACAGATGTAGTGCTTGCCAGCTCTCCTTCGCTCGCAGGTGAGAACGCTCAACCCAGCTGGGTGCTTGAGTAGTCTCGCTGATTATTATAATGATAGGGATCTCTTACAAAGACACCACTCCACATACCATGAAGCCAGAGATCCGATGGAACCTCTTCCTGGCGGAGTCCCCACAGTTGCTGGCAGGACGCCTATAGCGTGCCAGAATTGCGCGAGCGCAAAGACGGGGTGCGATAAGAGGGTTCCTTGCAGTCGATGCGCCGAGAAGAACCTGCCATGTGCTGCTCGATTTGCGCGACGCTCCTCCAAGGCTGCTGTGAGAGCAGCACAAGCCAGTGCTGCAATGAACAGCCAGGGATTACCTGGAGCTCAGACTCCAGCAATGCCAGCAGTCTCATCCTCGATGATGGAGATCGACCAGAACCTGGCAAAGTCAGGCTCGCCAGGCAAAGGCTCCCCTTCCGAAGACGTCGCATGCGCCGACTTGAAGTTGCTCTCAAGTCCCCAGCAAAAGTCGCCCCAAGAAGACAATCATTTCAGCCCAGGCGGATTTTCACCTCACAGCAAGCTCGATGTGATGAACGACTTCATGCAGCTCGGGACGGACTTTGTGACGCACGATCAAAACTATTCGGATCTGCTCGTCTGGCCTGAGTACCCCATGGAGCTGGACATTTATTCAAACGCCATGGCTATGCGACCAGACATGGGCCACGGTATGCCCGCTTTTGCAGATATCAGCGACTCGTGTTCCAACTCTGAGCCCATGACAGCCACTTCATCGCGCGCATCAGTCCACACGAGGGGAACAAGCATCATGTCAACCGCGAGCTTTGATCCCAACAAGTGCATAGACATGGCGATGCGGACCCCAAAGGACGCGAACATCCCAGAATTCGAAGTCGTTATAGCGTCAGAGAACTCGTGGCCAATGGCTAGGTGCAACCCACCTACTTTCTCCGGTAACTGTCCACGGACGGCGATCGTCCATCTTGAGGCGCTCGAGCAAAAGTGCCAGCAAGAAGGCACGTGGGACGCGCTGGACAAGTACCTGGGACAGTTTGGGAACGAACCACCTCACATGCCGACAGTTGTTCCAACCTCGCGGACACGTGACAAGATGACGGCCATCACGCAGTCATTCTTACACAAGGCCCTCGAGGTCCACAGGCTGGGGACCAATGGCTACTCCAAATCAGGTTATGCCAGCCCGGGAGGCATGTGCAACTTCATCATGCTCCCACCGTCCAGTGTTCTTGAGTACTTTCTCAAGAGCTACGTGCGCAGCCTGTACGGGTTTTACCCAATGATTTTTGCAATGAGCCTGGACCCGAATGAGATGGTTCAGAACACTCAGGCTGCAACATTACTTGTGCTCCTCATGATTGCACGAGGCGCAGCAGCCGTCCCGATGGCGGAGGCACGATACCTCTCTGCCGGCCTCACAGAAACTTGTCGCATCTCACTGTTCGACATCATCGAGAAGGATGTCGAGCTGTCAGCCGACCCGATCGCACTGCGTTGTGCACTGCTGTTCACCCTCTTGGGTGCATGGAGTGGAGACAAGTGGCAGATGGACATTGCCATGGGCCAGCGGGGCATGTATCTGACGGTAAGCATCCCACGACTAACTTGTTGTTAATGTGCAATTACTGATGGATAAACCAGATGTTGAAACATGCTGGCATGTTAGAGCCACAACCATCGATGATACCAGCTTTCAATGATTCTACGAGCACTGAGCTTCAGTGGAGGGCATGGATGCACCGCGAGACACAGAACAGGTAGGCATTTAATCCTCTGCACAGATCTAGAGCCATCCGGAAGCTGACCTCCTCCTCCAGGCTTGTTTACAACTGGGTCATGGTGGACCAAGAGTTGAGCCTGTTCCACGATACTGCGCCGGTCCTTTCCATTTCTGAGCTTCACTGCCCACTACCGGGCTCTGAACTTTTGTGGCTCTCACCGAATTCTGAGCAATGGCTGGCTGGGATCCAGTCTCTTTACGGCTGCACCAATAACGTAAACCCGCAACTACTTACTACCCCTTCTCTCACCCCTTCACTCTTTGATCTCTTCCAAGACTTCCTGCATGACAACCTTTCCCGTCGACAGTCCAGCCTGACCCCACAACAACTTCGCCTTCTCCTGCATCCTATCCAGTCACTCCTGTGTCACCTGCGGCAGATGCTCTCCTGCTTCTCGGACATTCTCGGCGCCAGGCGGTCAACAGCTCACACTGTGACAAGGGCATCGACATTCCAACGTCTGGAAGAAGTCCAGGCCCTGCTCCAAAAATGGTATGAGCTTGCCATCGTCCAGCACAAGGCCAACCCGAATTGCACAAAAACGCAGTGCAACATTGTGCTGTACCACCTCATCTCCCTGAACGCCGTGACCAACTTCCCTGAGATCGAGAGGCTGGCACGCAGGGAGGGCTTTGAGGCCGGTGGCCCAACCTACTGGGAGTTGAGCCTGAGGCACAAGAGGTGCATCTACCAGCGCGAGGAGGCCATATTCCACTGCGGCCAGGTCATGCGACTACTGCGGTCCATACCCGCGGACAAGCTGCCTCCGTGGTGGAGCACAGCGACATACAGGGTCACACTGATTCTATGGACGGACGCCATCGGAAGACTCGACCCGAGCTTCAAGACAGCCATGAACGACAGTTCGAGCCCCGAGAGCGGCAGCGCCCCGAGCAGCTCCGTCGTGGCGGTCGATAGGGTGACCCCTGAGGACCCGGCGGTGATTGCGTACCTCTGGAGCGGAGATGGGACAGCCGTGCTCTCGCGGGACAACGGCACCGCAGTGAGCCTGGACAGCCCCGCCAACATCTTGGAAGTGGGGATACAAACTATTGACAGCGGGATAAGCACACGCATTGGGGACGGGATCAAAAGGAAGCTGGCCACGCTGGCCGACAGCTGGAGTTCGGATATGATTGGCGCCGTGGCTGCTTGATGACGGATTACTGGCGTTGTTTTTTCGTGCGTCGCTGCTTTAGACAGTTGGTCACTCTGGGTCCACAGCACAGGTGGTTCCACAGGATATCTAGACAGGGGCTTGGGGGCTGGCTTGCTTCGGGCAGAAGCTATTGGTTCGGCGTCTACAGGGAATGGGATTCTACTTGACGGACATGGAGTGTGATGATTCATGATGGCGGGCCACTCTTCATTGGATACGGCACAACACAATGAAATGCATATTGTCTCACTCATACGACTGTACTGCTGCATACTTCGCTGCTGGACCTGATATCGTGAACCTACTGCTTCGACCCCGACCGGACCAATTTTTGCGCACCCCAGGGCGTGGCTTGACAAGGCCTACGGTTGTTTCAGGCAGTAGTAGGATTTAGACATAGATCCTGTGATCGAGATGGCATACCAAGCTTCACTCTGGCACTGCAACGCTGACAACCACGTCCCGTGATGGTGGGCGCCCGCCCTACGAGGCAGTGGTGGGCCCGCAATATATGCCATCCCAGACACTATCCAGGTGACAACGGATCGCATAAAAGCTTCATTCGGCCTCGCGAATCAGAAGGCCAGCCAGCACTGCCAGTTCGTGAAGAAATCCTGCCGTTGTCCCGCCCGCCATCGTCAGCCACGGCCGATGGAGGCCAACATCTACACGCCATCTCAGCCCCGCGCGGAAATTCAGCCCTAGCAAAGGCTGAGGCGTGCGGCCGCTGGATGGCGAGAGATCTGGGGATCCCCAAGCCACGCTCCGTCGATGAGGTTAATATCTGTTTAACCCCCGATACACACACACACACACATAACATACACAGCCGTGGGCGGACAAGTCGGTCCCAGGGCGAGTAAGCTGGTGCCTGGACACAAGTGCTGGACTAAGGAGGCCTGGATAGGTCAGTGACGATGGATGGGATTGCAAAATCCGACCCTGTTTTGTTGGGGTCGGGTTTATGCGCGCCACGGTCTTGGAGACGGGTCAAAATAAGAATGTGGAGCAAGTTCTCACCCACTGCCCTCCCCCACTCCCCACCTCCAGGCCGGGCAGACTGGGGTACGCCCCTGCACGTACCGCAGCCAATGGGTGCCCTCGATCTTGTTCTCCACTTGCCATATGCAGCAGTCGCAGATGCCTGCACGGTACAGGGTCTGGATGCAGCCCGTCCAGGGGGAGGGGGGGGGGCTGCGACCGAAGACACTGCATGCATTTAGCTGTACCTCTGTACATACAAGCCAGGATATGTCCTCTCCACCGTGCAGTCAACAAACTTAGGCAGATACATATCGACATCTCGCACTCTGTATCTCTGTTCGCGGCCCGCGTCTACGCCGCGGAAGCGAGCCCGCGATTCATTCTAAGTTTCCGTAGCATTCGCTCTCCCACAAGTCCGAGTTGGTCCAGCGACCCGCAGCGAGTCGATGCTCAGATACATACAGACAGACAGACAGGCATACATCGCCTGCGCGGTCCCGGCCAGCGTGTCGTACAACACATGCCCATTGAGTCCAAGGCATAAGCTAAGCTTGCGTCACTATAGCACGGCAGCATGCGGGCCCACGCTGGCTTGGCCTGCTTCTCGAACCCCCCAGAATGGGCAAAAAAAGAAAGCTGCGACACCAGGCCATCCAATTTCCACAACTCATTCGGATGAGACCTGATCCAGGCCCAGGATATCGTCACACACACGCACGGTGGCTGGAGCGCGCTGCCATCGGCCCCGTGGGCCCCTCCGAGCCCTTCACGTTGCATGAGCATCTCAGACCTTTTTTTGTCTCTGCGCCTCGATGAATCACCAAGAGAAGCCCGCCGGGCTTGTCAATAGTTGCTTTTTCTTCCAGTGCCATCGCCGAGGACGGGCGGCCCGCTGTCTGTTTTTTGGTGTCCATCCAGCCACGCGCGGCGTGGCTCTGAACTGACACATTGCGGATCTCTATATATACACACACACACACGGGACATATGTTACTATTATTGCTCTGCGGTGGTTCCTCTGCTGTGATTACGTACATATGGTGGCTTCCCAGCAGAACCCCCGGGGCACCTGTATGCAGGGCCTTTTTGCTTTTGCGAACATGCAGAGCAAATGCACCTCCCGTAACAACCATGTATCATCCACGACAACGCAACCGATTGGCCCGCTCGGCATCTAAGGGGTGGCCGTCCGCCCGACAGATACCTGGCCCCGGGCCCAAGCAGTTCCTCCGGGGCGGGCGGTCTTTACGTTGACAATGCATGATGAGCCGGCTTCCCGGCCCCCAGATCCTTTGTAGGGGGGTGTGTGTGTGTGTGTGTGGCAGCGGCAAAAAGACTGCGCCAGAGTACCTGCATGGTGACAACCTTACTCGGATCAACACACACAGAGCGCGGCAAAACCGCGGAAAACCGCGGCAGGGGAAAGGGGGCGCCTAAGTCCTCCAGGCACACGGGGGTGCAGGTCGAGAGAGAATGGATAATAGTGGTGTGTGCTAAGCTCAGTACGCATTGCCTCAGGTCGACGTTCAACCCCCTCGATAGGGAAGTATGCCTCGTCGCGTATGGTGTTTCACTCCCCGTCAGAGATTGGATTTACGAGCCATTCGAAAGCTATGTCACGCCGGATGCGCCGGTAAAGGGACGAGAATAAAGGCATGACATGGTCGCAATCGAGGATCTCCCACGTCTACTGACCGTGGTTGGTGCGTGAGCACGTAGTGTGCGCGGTGCGAGCCGTCCGAGTAGCCCCTTCTAGAACGAGTGTTCGGTGCCGCCGGCTTGGATGAGCCTGCGGTCATACAGCAGTTCCAGAGGCCTTACCAATCAAGTTTCGATGGTCGCAAGAGTATCTGTGCCTACATTGCGTTTCAGATCTATCGACTGAGGACATACCGGGGAACGTTTCCGCTTATAAATCACAATACTCGACAGCTTTCATAGAGTTACTTGCAGGAGAGTGAGCTTTGGTAAGCAGGAAGTGCTCCAACAGAGGTTGATAATATGCGCGAAAACTAGATTGTGGACACATATCAGAGCCAAGACTGCTCGGTCTCTGAAGATGATCTTGGCACTATGCTAGGCTGACGAAATCAAAGAACGAGCCCAGTATCCTAGACTCAAAGAACAAGATGAAGTATGGACTAAATGGACAAGACGAATCCAGGACTAAGAGAAACCGGAGAATGGCGATATAGATCGCCGTCCGAACGGGTGCGAGCACACATGTTATCGGTAGGCTGCCGTGCGCGCCTGAATGAACCGGTCCCAAGATATCGCGTGGTCGAACACAGACACAGAAAGACCTACCTACGATGCTGATGATGATAAGAAACAAACAAGTTCGTCTTGTCTCGGCTCGGGAGACTTGTCGGCGTTGTGGGCCGTTGTGTGAATTGGAGCCGAGCTGGCGTGGCCCAGATAATCTGTGGTGGTGGTGAGTAGTGAGTGGGTGTCCGGACATCCGGTGGGGCAACTTGCACCAAGCACACAGGCACTTTCTGACACAGCCGTCCACGCCGGTCCTGATCTGAGAGCGCCCCCGTGCCTCGGTCGAATAGAGGCACTGCAAAGACAAGGCTTGGCGTGTTTCTATTTGTGGCTGGGGCTGTCCTCGGTCGGTCAGTACCCAATCCCAATCCATGACCCAAATTTTGGTGTCTTTTGGCCCGTGCCTGGGCGCACCGAAACAGGACCGATGGTATGGAGCGCGACGCCAAACCGAGCGCTGCGGCATCCGCAGCGAGTTGCGGGACCGAGTCCCCTGTCCGCTCCTAGGGCTCCCGGCCGCCCCTGGCCCGTCGTTTTACCCCAACTACCGGAGCTCGCTGGCTGGGCCCGGACTTTTTGGGGGGGTAGACACGAGATTGTCCGGACCTGTGGGCCTTATATACCACGGCGCTCGTCGACATGGATGAAACAATCGAGAGGGAGGCATTCGCCATTACTGACTTCTTATTCAACGAAGCCATAAAGCATCAGAACCTTCGTCTTGCTGCATTGCATTGTGTTGTCACGGTAGAGGAAAAAAAGAAGAACCAACCCGATCGAAACATGGCACCCTCAGCAGTAGACGTTGCGTCCTCGGACGCCACCACAACCTCCACTTCATACGACCCAGCACGCCCCCTCGCCGGCAAGGTCGCACTCATCACCGGTGCCGGGCGCGGAATCGGCAGGGGCATCGCCATCGAGCTGGGCCGCCGCGGCGCCAACGTCGTCGTCAACTACGGGAGCTCGGCCAAGTCAGCCGAGGAGGTCGTCTCGGAGCTCGCCAAGCTCGGGTCCAAGGGCGTCGCGCTGCAGGCCGACATCAGCGACCCGGCGTCTGTGAGCGGGCTGTTCGACAAGGCCATCGAGCACTTCGGCCACGTCGACTTTGTCATCTCCAACTCGGGCATGGAGGTCTGGTGCCCCGAGGTGGACGTGACCCCGGAGCTGTTCGACAAGGTCTTCGGGCTCAACTGCCGCGGCCAGTTCTTCGTCGCCCAGCAGGCCCTCAAGCACTGCCGGCGCGGCGGCCGCCTGGTGCTGACCTCGTCCATCGCCGCCAGCATCGGCGGCATCCCCAACCACGCCCTGTACGCCGGCTCCAAGGCCGCCATCGAGGGCTTCACGCGCGCCTTCGCCGTCGACTGCGGCGAGAAGGGCATGACCGTCAACGCCATCGCCCCGGGAGGCGTCAAGACCGACATGTTCGACGAGAACGCCTGGCACTACGTCCCCGGCGGCTACAAGGGCATGCCCATGGAGATCATCGACCAGGGCCTCGCCAACATGTGCCCGCTCAAGCGCGTCGGCACCCCCGCGGACATCGGCAAGGCCGTCTTCACCCTCTGCAGCGACGAGGGCGAGTGGATCAACGGTACGTACAAGCAGATTCTCTTCTTCTACCATCACTACTGCAGCCTCGTTCTCTCCTCTCTCATCTACTCTCGTGATGGTTTACTAGTGTGTGGGGTGATACAGTTCTTGCTAACTCTGTGGCGTAGGTCAAGTGATCAAGCTGACCGGCGGAAACGCCGTGTAAGGCAGCACAGACGCCATGATCTGCACTGCCAACAGCGCTGCGTTTGTCTTGGGTTTGCCATCTTCTGGCTGCATATGAGTGAGTTGGGAGGGGCGGAGACGCATGGTCATTACTGCAAAGCCTCTTGTAAACAAGTTTGCTCAGAGACGAAATGGGGTCTCCTGACCTCCTGGTGGCTGGCGTCTAGTGCACACACATAGGGCGTGGGGGAGGGTTTCACACATATATAAAGTTAATCAAGCCACATGCACTTCTCATCTTACCTCACCTCGACTATGGCAACACGAAAAAGGTCAGGAGAGTTCTCACTCTTGAGATGAACACGCCCACTCCGTGACCGAGTCCTTCTTCGTATGTTCGTAGGTGGTGGCCCAGGTCACGATGCGCAATGTGCCACGACACGTCGCACAATAAGCACTTTACGGCACTGCTCCCTGACGGCCTGGCGTCCGTCACGACACGAACAACTCTGGTAGCGACACCGCTTCTTTCGAGTCTGTTTCCCGGAAGCGACACAAAACCTGCGGGCTCGTTACGGGAAAGCCACTCAGTTGTCTCCACGGCAGCTGCATACAGGCGATTTCCTCTGCAGAGACAGCAAGCCTGCAGTCATCATGTGGACCAATGCGATAACTCATATTGCCCCCCACAGAGCAAGTCGAAAAGAAGAGAAAGTAAACTTTTGGTGTAGATCTTATTGGTAGGGCTCTATATTAGAGTGTTGTACAGATTGGACCACCTAGCAGTGTTACATGATCGCCGGTAGACGTCCCTCTCACCGACGGAGGTATCCACAAAGGTCTGCAACAACCCATGGTCTCAACAAGCAAGATTTACGCCAGATCTCGAGGAGATTAGTGAACCCTGCTTCTGTGGATAGCTGGCCTCGGCTCACGGTGTGTCAACATAGGCGGTGGTTACATGCCTATGTATCCCCTGGCCCTCCCGACCTGTGAGTCAGCACGTGTTCTGCTGGATAAAGTGGTGGAGCAGTTAGGTAAATGATGCCAAATATAGAAGAACAGTCACTTGAAGCCATGCAAGGTGCCATGTTGATTTGTCCTGGTGCGGGCCTTCCCCTCGCCCTCATCTGAGGCGCAGGGTAGGTGGCGGAGGCGAGCGTTTGCGCACAAGCCAAGACTCGCGTCTTCCTTCCTGAACTTGAAGCATCCCGGGGCTCGAGATATGACTTGGTGTTGAGAATAGTCTGACAAGGAGAAAAAGGCAGAGTATTCGCAATGACTCGCAAAGTTTACGTAGACCAAGTCGACCAATCTGGCCCTGGAGCAAGGCCCAGCCTCTGGCCTCTCCTAGACCCGGGAGCAAGATGATGGCATACTCAGATGACAGCTCAGTGTAGATTGCTCGCATCTTGACCGATCAAATAAACCATCTTCACACCCCTTCTGGCTCGAGGAGGGTGGTAGTCCCGGCAGTTGGAAGCGGGCGACAAGCCACGCAGTTCTCATCTCATGACGGCCTTTCGCAACGGGCTCTCCCTGTAATTCACCGCGGTACTGAAAGAACACCGAACACCGCGAAGGAGGATATCGCAAGGTACTGCTCTGTTGTTTGGCCCTTATGCAGAGCGAGGAAGGCCGTCCGGAGGGAAGGAAGCAGCTCGCCCAGCCCGCCGTGCATGGTGGTGCATCGTCTTGCATGGTCGTGCATCGCGCACGGGATGTCGTCCGAAGAATACGTGCAGGACGGGTGGGTCGCATGCGTGGCTTAAACACCATTGGGCCAGGCGGACTGCTTAGCAAGTGTCTACTTTCCGCATGGGGAAGAGGCCAAGTCATACAGTAGCATCCATCGTCCGGGACGCACAGCGCACAGCGCGCCGCCTGCGAGACTACAGCCAGGCATTTGGGCCGCCTCGTCGTGCCAGTAGCAGTTGCCAGTGCCAGGGGCAGGGGGGCCCCCTTGGGATAATGTCAGCTGCGCGTTCACATGCCCTCGAGGCTATGCGACCGGATTGCGGGTGGATCCTCGAGGTTGATTCGCGGCACAGTCAGCACGAAATCGTACCATCGTCGCATTCGCTCCCCCTTAGAGTTCAGACGGGGGAGGCGGTCAGCTTACGTTTTAGACGTCAACGATGGTGGCCGCCCATCGAGTTTCGAGATAAACGGCCCAGCGATCTCCAAGGGGTTGATTGCAAGGGGACGAGCACTTTGTTGCCATCTCACGTGAGCATGTTCGTTCAAGGAGAACCTCAGGCTGCGGCTTGGGCTCGCCGTGTAACCCCCGGTGTGCTTCCGCGGTGCAAGACAACGCGCGTTGAATGGTGTCTGTTGTCTGCAGCCCCGGGGAGCAGCGATTGAGTGGGAGGCAGTCACAACCATGGACACGGCAGGCGCGTATTACTTGGTAGATACTGCTGTGTATGTAAGTGCCGACCCCCACCTTGGGCAATCAATCACGCGCGGCCAAAGTTTGCGTCACGACAACGTGCTTGCCCAGGCCGAGGCGAACAGCGATCGATCCATGCCCATGCAACAAGATTGTGAGCTCCGATCACCTTTTTGCAACCACTGCACACTGACTGCAGGATGGAGCCTAGATACTTGCCCAACAGCGACACACCGCTGTCAACCGTCCCGTCAGGCGAGCCGACGAGTCACTTGAGAGAGGCCCTCGAGGAGATCATCGCCAAATTGCCCCCTCAGCAACATTACACGGGCAACAATGACGTCCTCAAGGGCCTCTGGGCAGGCCCAACCGGCTTCGCCTACCTGTTCCTCCAGGCCTCCTCGAGGTGCCCTCGCCTCAAGATAGCCGGCCGCCACGCCATCACCTGGGCGCGCAGGTACATGGACGGCACCAGAGGCCACCTGAGCCTCGGATCCCGGTGCGGGCTGTCGTGCGAGAAGCTGGCCTGCGACGCCGTCCAGGCCTGCATCACCAAGGATGCGGCCTACGTCAACGCCTTCCTCTCCAGCCTGCCAGAGGTCCTGGCCCCTGGCGGGTCGTGGCCGGACGAGATCCTGCAGGGTCGAGCCGGCACGCTCTACATGTTGCGGATGATGCGCCACTGGGTCCCCGACACCGAGGTCCACGTACTGCTGGACCGGTCAGTCGAGTCCGTCGCGACGGCCATCTTGGCGGATGGCCCAGAGTGGAAGTGGCACGGGAAACGTTATCTTGGTGCTGTCCACGGCGACATTGGCATTGTCACACAGCTTGTCCTCACCACGCCGTCGCTGGCCACCCGCGTCGAAGGCAAGATGAGGGACCTGCTGGGCTCCCAGCTGGCTAATGGGAACTGGCCGAGCTCGGTTGGGAAGACGGATGCCTCGCTCGTGCAGTTCTGCCACGGCGCCCCAGGGTTCCTGCATTCCCTAGCATCACTTAGGCCCTACTTCCCCGGCCTTCGGCAAGAAATAGATGCGAGCGTCGACAAGGCCCGTCAGTGCGTCTGGAGAGAGGGCCTGCTTCGAAAGGAGCCCTCCCTGTGCCATGGGATACTCGGGAATGCCCTGTAAGTTGCGCCGTAGTCATTTGAGCGAAGGAGCTCAAGCTGAACCCAACGCAAGCACTTTACGTGATCCCGAGAGGCAGCATTTCCTGGCCACAGCGACACCAGGCGCTATCTCTGAGATGAGGAAGAAGGACGGGGCTGTGTTCGCGCCGGCAGACTATGGGAATAGATATGCCACTATCTCAGGCTATGCACTGAGTGCTGCATGGTCATGGATGGTTGCTGGCGAGCCGTCGCCGGGCGTGATATTCTACAACGATGTGTAATACAGAAGCTCGCACACGGTCGCATTCGTCCTAGTTCCGAGTGCCGATCGGACGCGTGTGACGTTGATCACTTCAATAAGCTCACCGATGAGCCAAGATCTGGCCTCTGGGGGGGCTCAAGGGCATCTGCAGGCAGCAGCACTTGCAGCGTAGCAGCGTAGCAGCAGCAGGAGCAGCAGCCCGAAGGTGGACACCCTCGTCCGAGAGACCCGGATCCGTGAAGAGAAGCAACATCAAGGTTCCGCCGTGCAAATCGCAAATGTGCATTTTTCAACGTGTGCATGGGTTCCCCTGGCTTCTGCTCTTCGGCACTCCTGCACTCTGATGATCAGGACGTGAGGCTGAATTTAGGGGAGCCCATCACCTGAACCGCTGATGAGGAATCCCACACCAAGGCCCATGATTCCAGTGGTTTTGGAGGATTTTGATGATAGAAAAACAAGGCGGACCTTGGCGGTAAGAACGGGCCCCACGCCGGGACCGATTCAAGTCGGCACTCCGAGCAGAACAAGTGTTTTCGATTTTCGTCGGAGCTAACAAGTGCTGATATCAGCCGTGGATGTGCCGACTGGACGGGGATGTTCGGCACCAAGGGGGCCAGAACAGGAATTGGCCCACGTTGCACAACACAACTGTCGTTCTGCTCTGGGCTGCAGTAGAGCTCCTGCAGGTCTTACAGCCAGCATACAACTATCAGAGCTCGGTGGCTTGCTTGTGGGATGCCATGGCAAGCCTCCAGACACGTCGCCCAAGGGCAATGGAGGACCTCTCTACGAAAGTGGAAAAGAAAGAACTCGAGGCTGAAGAGCGGGTCGCCAGATGCCAGTGGCGCCCACTCAGAGTTGCAACAGATCGCTGGGTAAGGGCTGAACTTCGCCCACGTCGAATGCCGTCAGACGGCCATCACGCCAACCTTTAAGCCAGATGTGTGGCAACATCTGAAGTGTCCCGCCGGCCAATGACCAACACATAGGCAGGGTAGAGAATCACCAAAATAGGACATTGATCTTCCTAAGCGGAGCCCGTCGCGCAGAAGCTTGAGGCCTAATCTTCAGCTCCTACAGCGGTGCCCTGGCTACTGGCTAGACCCTCCAAAACCTGTGTGAGCATGCGAGCAAGGCAGGGCCAAGTCCTGGCTACTCACCTTGGAGGGAATTGTGTGGTCAGGATCGAGCGGAAGTCTGTCCCGATGCCGCTCCCTCCGTGTTCTCGAAGTCCGCAAGGTACAGCTCGGACAGCCATCGAGGTACGAAACCACCCGTTTCCGCGCGACCATCCCTTCGAGGCATTTGCAATCTTGCATGATACTTGCCGATTGCCAGGCCCGGTATTGTCCGGTTGTCGTCCAGCCCTCCAACATGATACCGTCAGCACTGCGCCAGTCCTCTAGGGGGTATTTTGGGTTTTGGTTATTAGTCACGACCCGTCCGCCGGCTTCCCATATCGAGGCTGGCCGTGAACGTTTCCACTACCCGTAGATGGACACGGGGTAAGGCAGGCCAGTCGACTAGCTACTATCGCTAGGGCTGTCGCCGTTGGGAGAACCATGAACCCGGGAAACAAGAAAATTAAAGATCGACGTCACTTTGCCCTGGGGTGTAGTGCGCTGGCCGTGCGGTAACATGGGACATGCAAGACCCATGTGCGCCCAAAGGCCCGTTCCTAACTAAGGACGAACCGTCTCCGGCATGTCTTGTTCCCTTGCCCTAGCTACCTAGTGGTTCAGGGAAGCGCCAATCCGCCCTGAGGGGCCCTCCAACTCCCCATAAGAAAAAAGGCGTTGGGAAACGTTCGCGGGGCGTTTTTTCAAGTCTCTCGAGGTCTGGGCAAGGAGAAGGAACGCTGTCAGAGAAGATGGGGACGGGTTCGCTCGTGGCGTCACGGTCCCCTCCCCCAATTGCTCCGGGCCCTGGGGGCGTTGCGTCCGGTCCCCTCTGGTGACCTGTTTCCAGCCGTACCTTGGGGCTCCAAGTCGCGCCGCCAAAGCCGATGGAGCCAAGCGCTGACATGTGTGGCTGATATCCTCGCACTCCAGCACATCCAGCGCTGCATTCGACAGGTCACCTTGCATCGAACGTACAGGCGCATATACGGGCCGGGGTGTTCGGTACAGGTGGCAGGGATCAGGGGCTGGAACGCGGCTCGCCCACGCCTGCGTAGATCATTCGAATGGCAGGGAGCATTTGGCCACGACCCGTCTGCACTTCACAGGATCTTGCGTCTGAAGAGCATCAAAGTTTGCGCTCGGGTAAGTGATATTCCCAAGCGTCTCAAGTTCTGCCCTGAAATGAGAAATAGCGTCTACCCAGTTCCGGCAGAGATCTCTGCCGATCTCTGTGACCGAGGTGCGAAACCGAGGCGGCAGGACACTGGCGGTTGAAGCCAAGAGCGTGGCCGTGCATGACGATGGACTGGAATCCTATCCGTCATGGCAGGAGTCGTACCAGAGTGTCGGGTTAACCCCCTTCCCTGCCAGCAGTGGTGGCCTTGCGTCGCTGAGAGTTGACTCCAGTACCCGCTGTCACATGTGCCAAGATGCTGTGGGGTCCCGAGCGTGGTACCCACGACATCTGCCCGTAAGCCTTCGTTGTCAAATGGGAGCACTATTCGCCTAGGCCTGGGCTGATATCTGAAGCATCACCGTCGTGCTAGCACGTCTCATCCTCGAGGTGATTACTACCGTCGCAAGTCAATCCCAATGGGCAAAAGTGGGGGTCGGGCCCACGGGAGCCTCAAAGGACACAAGCCTTTTGCTCGGCCACCAGTAAGAGGGCATAGCGGCAGGCGGGCAGATGTTGTGAGAGGTTTCCTCACAGACGTGATCCCGGTGGTACGGGCACAGGTACCCTTGCATGTAAGTATGTATGTATGTATGTATGTATGTATGTACGTACGTACGTGTGTGTGTGTGCATGTATCTGTACTGGGTGGGTGGGTGTTCATCCACGAACACACACATCCACATACATGTGAAACTACGGCAAGTCAACACATAGAAACAAAACACATCTCCACCCACCCACACCTGCACCCACAAACTCGTACAGTACACATCGTACAAATTTACCCATTGGCTGGCCCAGTCGTGACGGCTCCCGAAAGCTTATTCCTTAAATCCATTCCTAGCTCAGCCTTAGCTCTCACCCCGCTGGGCCAGCTCTCTGGCTCCGGACATCTCCACTTAATGATGTAATCCCCAGAGGGCCCGCCGCGTGCACCAAGATCTCTAGCCTGGCACTCGGTCCGTTTCTCGGCAAGCACAGGACACAGGAAAAGGGCTGGAGATGCCGGCTGGCTGGGCCTTATATCCGTGCTGACAGACATCAGGGCGCGCCGCTTTCCTTTGTAGACCTGCCCAGCTGCTTGGGAGCGGGAGTTTCAGCTGAACCGCCTGGGCTGGGTTGTAATGTCCCCTGTCCCCTGCTCGGGGCTGGGCGGAGGGGCAGTGGCTTGCTCACGGATGTTGTCATTTTCTGGGAGGACGTGAACTCGCCCTGTGATATTACCCCAGGACGCGGGTGGAAGTATACGCTAGATCACCGTGACACCAGCCCATTGTACATCGAGCACATGGTACTCATGCTGTGCGCCCACAATGTCGTCGGACTAACCCAGTCTCCCACACACTAACAGAACGCATCTCCCCCTTCCCGAACGTTCCTCTCGGGTGCGACAAGAAGCACCGGGGTCTGGACCCTCAGCCAACGCCAAATTCTCCAGCCAGGGGGACTCAAGCACAGTCATATCTCGCACAATCACCCACACACGGTCTAAGCACTCAACACAGGGCAGATTAGCTCAGGTACCAAACAAAACAAGAGTGGCATTGGCAGGCGATAAGAACGCATCATTCCAATAATAGACTTTCATGCCGTTTCCCCCTTGCTGAACCACTGTAAGGAAAGACAACCCATTGAGCCCCAGTACGCCTTTCCGTCTTTCCGCTCACGACCGTGGTGGCAATGTCTATCTCAGTCCGCCCCCCCCCCTCTCCGCTCAAGTGCGAGCTTGTCAGTAGTCTGCTGTGATGTCGTGCCGGCCCCAGGGCCAGCCTTGGGTCTTGGCTCCTGTTCTGCCTGTCTTCTCAACCGTGTTGTGAAATGATAAGGTCCTTGAAACGATGCCACCCGCCCCTTAGTAGCAGCTTCATCCGCCCTGTGGCTTTGAGCCGAAACGTGGAAGCATGGGCCAAGCAAGCACAGTACTGCGTCGGTTTTGTAACTGCGAGAAAATTGTTGAACGGTAAGCGAAAGCCGTTGTACCGCAAGTCCCGGCATAGACAGTGACCGAAGCGCAAATTAGAGTGTAGTATCGAATTATTCCTTTTTCGCTGCAGGATTCTGGTGTCGTTCGGCCAGGGGAAAATACCGCAATCTGTTGTTTCATCCCGGGCGTCGGAGTTCTATGTTTTGAAGGAACGATTGCTCTGCGTGAGATGTGCAGTCCTGCCCCAAAATCCCCGAAGAGGGTGGGGAGGACTTCGGATCGGATCTTCACGAGAATCCAATGTCGCCCTTCCGATGGGTGACCACCTGCATTGTGGATCCCAAGTTCTGGCCCAGATACCCGAGCATCGCCTTGCTGACCTCGGGGTCCTCTGACAGTTCCGAACATACCTCCCGGAAATTGGCATACACCTCCTCGAGCTTCCGAAGCTCTCGTGCGAGGATCTCCAGCTCCAACCATCGGCTGTCCTCGCCATTGACGGTGTAGGCACCGAGACTTACGCCCAGCCCCGTCAGACCATTGCTTGTTGCCATTGCCGGAGTCGAAATCTGTGCCGTCATGTGAACGCTCGGCGGTCCTTCATGATCAAAATAAGACTGTGAGGCGTTCTTATAGAAAGACGTGATTGTGCCTATCACTGTCGCCAACAGCATAGCCGCTGTATGGGTACCTGATCTTCTCATGCATCGCGTGCAGGCTACGTGAGTGTTAGTATCTGGGTGTGAGCTCGTAGGCAACGGGAGAAAGGGGACGGTCATACCAAGCATAGCTGCGCATCCCTCAACTGCTTTTCGGTTGAGGGAAAGCACCAAATCAAATGGTGGGGCTGCAGGAGACGATGCGTTGTGTAAAGCCTGCAGGGACTGTAGGCACACTGTAAAACAAGTGCAAGAGCCCCCAGCCGAGTTGGACGGTGTGGACTTTGATCTCGATGGAGCCTGTCGATGATGTGGAGTGACTGTCGGACTTGGAAAGCAGTTCGGTGCCATGCTTGTCGGTGTGGAGGCTTGGTTGAAACCGAACAGCTCAGGTCCCTTTGTTTCCATCCAGCCCATAGAGCCTGAACTCATGTCGTATGATTGAGAACGACTATGAATATGATCATTCGCAATTGTGTTTGTGATAGAGGTGTCGGTGAACTGAGCAGGTATCTCGCTCGGTGGTGTCCATGGTATGCCAGGGCCATACATATCACTGGCCAGGCTGGGATCGGCATGCGCTGGCGGGCTGCCATCTACCCCGATGAAAGCGAGACCGGATGATATCGACTGAGTCCGACTCATGGATCCATCAATGCTCGTAGGCGGTGTAATCCATCCTCCTTCAAGTTCGTACATGCCGGGCATGCCACCATGGACGCCGTACATAATGTTGTTGTTGTTGTTGTTGTTGTTGTTGTTGTTGTTGCTGGGCGCTGCGGTGCTTCCAGCCGAGTCTCGGTGTGCTGCTTGTTCCTTGGAGCTCTCCGAGGCCTTCGGTTTTCCAGCTCTGCTCGAGGGCGAATAACGACATTCTATGCCACAGGTGAGGCATCTGGAACATATCGGTCTTGCCTTGGAACACTTGACTTTGGCGAGGAAGCAGCCATCACAAGATGCTCGAAGGCGGGGTTGACGTTGTTTCGTCGCGGTAGCCATGGCTGCTATGGGCCGCGCCTCACGATATATCGAGGCTGTTGCTGTCGTTGACGGCGGTTGGCAGGATGAAAGTTGAGGTAGAGCTCGAGTGGGACAGTCTGAGTAGAAGACGGGCCTTGGTGAGGAGATATTGCTGATTGCGCCCGTTCGACCGGAGGGATGAAGCATCAACAAGAGGGCTGAGATAGATATGTACGGAGGGATCCTACTTGGACAGTGTGCGAATGGGGTGGTGCTTCGAGCAGGAGAGAGATATAGAAGCCGATGCTGTGAGTAGATCTCAAAGAGGTGTGTGTGAGAGCTGGGCAAAAAGCGGGCGTAGTAAAGTTAATTGGGAACCGGTAGCTCGAAGGCGAGGAAGAAGCTTGAACACATGGCGCGAGAAGCACAGATCTTGACTTAGAGCAGACACCGTCTTATGATTGCAATCCGGGTTGTGGATATACCCCAGGTAGGCTAGTCCGCTTGGTGGTCGGAACTGGAGCCAAGGCAGCGAACGTTGACGCTCGGCCACACTCTATAAACAGCCCCTACGCAGGTGGCACCCTAGGATGATGAGAGATCGAACGTGAGAAACGGGACTTTACCGCTAGCCATGCGCTGAAGTGTCCAACGCTCAGGGGGATTGGGCATGCGTTGCGGGATTCGGTCCCTGGGAGCATTTCCTGTGCAAAACAGCCAACCGCCCTCTCGAGGCAAGGCAGCCTTCGAGTCGCCCACTACAGGCCAAGAGGGTCAAATTCGGTGCTAAATGGGGATCTTGGGTCTGCTGCTAGACGGCCAATCTGATGAGCAAGGCTGTGCTGAGAAATCCAACAGCCGTAACAGGCGTGTCGAGGGCCGTGGAAAGATGATCAAGTATCCGGAAAGCGAGGGATACGGGCAAGGGGCCCTCGAGCGAAGAGGTCGTGGTCTAAGTCGAAAATACGTGACAGGGAAGGGCCGTGTAGCAAGGGACACTTGACATGCCCAGGGGTGTGACAACGTGATGCAGCCTGCAAGTACCTCGGACTACGAGGACTAGCACTCACCGGGCCCCAGTACCTCCCCCAAGCGTTCCGCACTGCCCGTCACTCATATCAGCCCCGGCTTCGAGACTGGCGTGAGGCTAAGAGTCAACTCTGTCCCACCCCCGGGTCAATGATCGTCTCGTGTATTTCAACTTTCAGAGGAAGGTTCTCCTCGGCTCTCTGAGCCAGTCGCAAGCACAAAAGGCGTCAGAATCCTGCTCTTTCGGATGGACTCGGCGGGGTCTGGACAACCTGATAGTACCAAGTCGACGGCTAACTACCGTCTTTCTTCTCTCAATTATATTAAGATCTGCCCACGGTGGCTGCCATGGCAAGACTCCCCCGTTGCCAAAGGAGGGCATGATCGGCCTCTGGAAGAGTAGCTTAAAGGCAAAAGCCACAGAATGGTTGTGCTGGGTGGACCCCTACTAGATTCGGTAGGCATCTTACCCCGTCTTTTTGACTCACATTGCTTTTGTATCCAACAAACAGTGGACACCACCATGTTGCAACGGCTTTCTTCTTGTTTTCGTGTGAGACTCGAGCCATCTGTGCGTGGGCAACGACCATATTGCATTGCGCCTGTCGCAGTGTGGGGGGAGGGGGGGGGTCGCAAAGTTGTAAGGCGGGTCCCATTTTGGCTCATGGGATCCGGTAGAAAAGCTCACGGCCTCACACTGTTGGTTCATTACACTTTAGGCTGCACCGCTTCAAAGAATGTCTGGTCGAGCTTTGAGGCGCTCACAAGTCTGATAAACGAGCGGTGGGTGATGTCGAGGTGTCCAAGCAGAGTAGGGCGCCTCCAACGATGATCGCTATCGCGCGCGTCGCCGCATCTATATCGGGTCAAGTGGACGTGCACCCAATTGGTCCCAAACACAGCTCCAAGAGGCCGGTGGTGTGTTGGCCATAGAAGTTTCCGCTGGAGCTAGTGCGTCTGCCGTTTCGCCAATACAACAGTGCCCGGATGCTTTCCGAGATTATGTATCAGTCCTTTGACCCTTTGGCCGTTATCGTCAAACGCCACCCGTACTGAGAGCTTGCTGGTGCCTCTGCAATGGTTGCACCCAAACAACCTGTGCCGTGGAAGACTGAGCGCAAGCAACATGGGCTCGAGCTGCCACGTCCTGTCCGTCGCCCAGTTTCCACAGTTAAAATGGCAATTGTTGAGCTTGTTCCTACAGGTAAGCAGTCAGCGCCGCCCAGAACTTGCTTGCAGCACAACAGACCCCTGTCCTTGATGGCCTCAAAGAGTCAGCCCGTAGGCGTCACGCTCCGCTTCTGCAGTGAAGGGACTGCAGTGAGGGTGCTGCAGAGGAGGACCTGCAGTGTGCGCTCTGCGACGAATTTCCTGCACGGAAGGCCCATTGTGAGGGAACATGAGCCTGTGCATAAGCCTGCATGGTCCCAGCTCATGGGAATGACGGCCCACGGTATGGGCTGCGCGACCCCGGATATCGTGCGATTGATTGTACACGGAACTTGTTGGGCGGTGGCGGCGGTGCAAGATACTGCCTTGCCGAGGTCTCCGTTCAGCGCGGGTAAGACGTGGGCCAAGGAGCGACAGAATCCATTTTGGGACAAGTACAGATGCTCTCCTCAATAGCGCGCGGGCCGGACTTGGTGTATCGACCTCGATGAAGCAGAAGACGTTTGCTCGAACGAGTCTGATGTACCAGATTTCGATACCATGTTGCCATTGCTGTAAGAGACAGAACGGTCCTCTTCCCCCACCAGCGTAAGCCGGCTAATTTCACGGCAGACAGGGGGGTTAGATGCCCCGTGGGTTAAAGGGCAGCCTGGACTGGCAGTGGGGTGTGAGGCTGTTTGGGCTGGCCCGGTTGTCGATCCTACCGCGGGCGACGTCCCGCTGGCCTCGAGCGAGTGCCGTGTCCTGTTCTATTCCCGCGGCCTGTCGACCCGTGCGCTAGGTGGATCCTACAAATGCCCAAGGCTGAAGCACACTAGGGCGGGAAGCTTGTGAAGCTGAAGTGTGCTCCTGCCTGTCCCAAACTAAGCCGCCTCGTGGCCACAAGCAGAACCTATCGCTCGTGGGCAAGTGGCAGTGATCGACACCAGGGCCGAGCTGGTGGGAATAAGGCCTCGAAGGCATTGCGGTCCAAGAGCCCACCTAGCCTGGGGGGGGGGTTCCTGTGGCGCTGGCGGATTGCTAATGACGCCGGTGTCAGCTCGACAGATGTGTAAGCAGTGATGAGACGCGAGAGCGGCCGGTCTGTTGCGCCTCGAAAGATGCGCTGTGGACTAGGTGACTAGGTGATTCCGCAGCAGCCGGTAAGCTGACGTCGGCGTCTTGCGAAGTGGAAGTGGAGGAAAGTGCTGTAGAAACGTGCTTGCTCGTGTTGACCTGCTTTCTGCATATGCATAATGCAGGCAGGCCGCGCGAGTGGGCCCGGCGCGCGATCAGGGCCTTTCTGGCGACGATTCCGGCTCGCACGCACGCCCGATTGCCCGTATGGGACGAAGAATTCGGGTGCTGTGGGTGCTGTGGGTGCTGTGGGTGCTGTGGGTGCTGTGCGCTGGGAAGGTCGACGCGAAGCACAACATGCTCTGTTCTGCATGAGCATGAGAGGCTTGCAGAGGGTTGCACTAGGTAGGCCGCCGAGACTGCAAGCGGGCGCAGCGTGATGGAGTTGACGATGGCCACCATCGCCGGGCTGGTGGTTTGAAGAGGTGCAACTTCTTCAGCCGCTCGACGTGGTGGGGTGGAGCATAACTACGTCGGATCCGGCTGCTCGGAGGGCTCAGCGATGAGGGCGGAGTGGGGAGGAAGGAGGCGAGTCAACCCATCTCGTCGACACAACGTAGCATCTTGACGTGGAGTGTGGAGGGGCCGCCGGTGGGGAAACCACAACCCACTTGTGGGAAGTGTTAATGTCACGGCAGGGAAGGTGCGTGGCTGGCTAACAGCTCAGGAAGCGACCCCTGCTCTGCTGAAGGACAACCTTAATTCGACCTCACGATGCAGGCAGCCTGGACCAGCCAAGAAACTCGCAGCACAGCACAAAGCAGGGTCCTGCAGCAGAGGGGCAGGAGCGCAGGCCTAGGCATCACGCAGCGGCTCCCGATCGCTGTCTCCCAGCCCCACCCACCTCACCTCGCCCATTCACGCAAGCCACTCGACCGCTGGTGACCGGAGCCTTGCTCTCCGTCGAGCAATCTGCCGTCGCCTCGATTCACTTCACAATCTCTTTCCGAGATGCGCTTCTCTGGGCCAGGCCACGACAGGATAGACACTCTTTGGTCCTGGCATTTGCAAAGCTCCGCACTCGGTGTCGCCAGCCAGGTCGACCGCAGCAGCTTCAGGTCCGTCCTACTAGGTCGGTCCAGGCCTTCCGCAATCCCACTGGCACAGTTACGCTCTGTCACTTGTCACTACTATGCTCCAGTGTACGTGAGATTGTACGAGGCGAGACCGTCAGAGAGCCAATGACTTGGACAAAGTGGCCGCCCCATAGGCAAATACGCGGATTGTGACCAGGTGGCGGTCATTTGTGCTTGAAGCCATGTTTGGCCGCGGCAAAGGACGCCCCTGTCGCCTTCTAAACGCCCAGCCGTCACCAACACCATTGATCCAGGTGTGTCTTTGCCGTCGAGCCGCCTACGCGCTGTTCTCACATCCTCTAGGTGGAAGGCGCGAAAGGATACTGGCATCGGGATAAAATCAAGGGCCGCTCAGGTGGGCCGCTGTCCAGGTGTCGACAGGCGTGTGGCTCCTGCGACCTGACAAGGTTGGCGTGCTCAGTAGTGGGGGCAGCAAGAATAAGGATCGCAACCAGAGAGAAAAAAACAAAGAACCAGCCAGGTTCCTCACCCCCTAGCTCCCCTCGTCTTCGTGTTGAGAGTCATCTCTGACTGCATTAGCAGGTCTTTGTGGGCCATTTGGTCCTATGATCCTGGGCATGGAAAACCTGGCAGGCAGCGCGGGATGACATTCACGATCCAATGTGCAGTGTCACAGCCGAAAATGGAAATGGCGAGTGAGAAGAAGAGTCTCGTGATCATCGATCTCCCGCACTATACAGACGGGGATCTGTCTCGCTGCCATGCGTTGGCCACGCCCTTATCGCTCCAGCGAGAAGCATCGCATGCTGTTCCCGACTTGCATGAGCACGCGAAGAACCTTGGGGCAGAGGCCGCGAGCCGTGACTGGGAACCCGATTATTGGATCCCGTGTCACTCTTGCAACAAGCCGTGCGGGGCTCTGTCTCTTGTTGTTCTTCTCTATCGATCGCGCCCGCGTTCGCTTGCTGCATGGTAAAGAACGCGGTGCCTAGGCAGGTCGTGGCTGTCCAGGTCACAGGTGTCTCAGACGAGACATTCCCTCACGAGCACAGCAATTCGATAGTCCCTGCATCCCTACTTGTGTAGCCGCAAAACGCTCTAGTGTTTTCTCCTTTTTTTTCTTCTTCTTCTTGTTCGCGTCATGATTCTATGATTTGGGTACACAATTTGTCAGGGCTGGAGGACGGGCAAGCCTACTGGGTTGGAAGCCGCGTCCACGGCCTCGTGTTTTGGATAAAAGTCCCTGATTCCGTCTACGGCTTCGGTGCGGCGCTGGGCGGATAGACCATTCGTATTTTGCGTCACACATGAGTCTGTGCGATGTATAGCATGTCATGTTCAACGGGTGAGCTAGACCAATATGTACGAGATCGACTGCGCGCTAAGAGTCCTCGGCGCTCTTCTGGTGGTTTCGCCGTCTCGGTGCCGGTCCCTAGTCTTGAGTCCGTGAGCTCTTTGCCCCTGTTGAAGAAACAAGCGGTCTGCTTGCTCGTGTGATTGCAAAGTGTGAAACGAAACGTCCGAAAAAGAGCACTTAGTGTCTCTTCTGGCTGAATTCGTCTTGCCGCGGTGTTGACTGGTGGCCTGGACGGGCTTAGTGGGTGAGGGTCGATGGAACGCTGAAGTGAGGGTATTCAGACTCAGGTCCCCCCGCCAAAACAAAAGCACATCATTTGGAAGAGAGCCGTAGACAAAAGATAAGACTCTTATTAAGTAGTAAAATATCCGAAACATATTTTGGTTAACTCTTTTAATTGTTCTATAAATTCAGCGAGCTAATTTATGTGGGGAGTGTCTGTTCGTTTTCCATGATAGCAATGACAAATCCAGCCGCCTGTTGCGTGAGGTCTCTATAAAGCGGAAGTCGAGTTGTGAGACTTACTATACACCCGCAGCGGCTCTTTGTATAGCCCACAAAATAAGCTGATAGTATTACATGGTCGTAAACGGGTGTCACATAGCCGCCCTTGAGTCCTGCCATGCGAACTGGATCATCTGCGATAGGTGTTCCTTCGATATTATCCCTCTCCGGATCTTAACATCAGTTCTTCGAGTTTTGATTGTTGATTTTTCCAGCCAGAAATTCATAGAACAAATAAGATAATTTCATAGAGAATTGGCTTCGATATACACGTCGCAATGGGGCATGTCTGAGCCCGAGACCGCGTCACCAGCCGTTGATGGTTCGGGGACTGGACCCTCCTGTGGCCCCAGAATCACCAACCCCTCGCTTAAAATAACTATAACTGTACTTGCATCTTTCAATGCCAATACGGCATCCAAAAACTCGAATTTCCTCACAACAAATGGCCGTGGTCCCGTTCAATGAGTGGCAATGACCCAAGACAGTCCTCACGCGCACAGTAACCTTTGGAGGATGACAACAGACAATAGAAGGGGATTGATTCATTAAAATGAGATTGCCACCAATGGTCATCTTTAATTCAGTCGTACATGACTTATTGAAGCTATCGTCAACGTCGCCCGGTCACTGAGTAAGGCAGGACTCGGCGTCTGCCTTCTTCAGCCGTTTAGTGGGCCAGGCTCGTCCATGAAAACACCAGCAATTATTCGAAATGCTGCTACATTCCAAATACTTAACATCGAATTCGACAATTTCAGTGTCAAATTCGGTAGAGTCATCTCAAATTACGGGTGACAACTGTGCCAAAAAGTGTAAAGCAAGTGGACGATGTTCATATCATGTCCATTTCTGCCGGAAGCCAAGAAGGTCGAGGTTTTGACCCATTGGTGTGGCAAGCACAGTTGGAAGCATTTCAAGCGGGCGAAGGAGCAAATAAATGTGATATGAATCTAAGCAGGTATTTCATTCTGGTGTCTAAGAACTAAGACCGACATGATGCCACCACCGTGGAATAGCAAACCCCCTCCATTAACAACCGAGCCCATGACAGTACATAATTCCCACCTAAGAAATACAAACAGGAAAAACATCTATAGAGAAATGTAACGAGCCCATGTTTCCCCCGACACGTATCGCTGTGCAAGGCAAACCCGTAAAAAAAAAAAAAAAAAAAGCAAAAGGAAGGTGACAGATTGGGCTCTGTGGTGCCGGTGTCTGTGTCTCCTGCAGTGTTACAAGATGCCTCTCTCCAACTGTGATGAGAAGCCCATCCGAATCTTCGCGGTAGGCTCAAAGCCTTGCTGCTAATCTACGTACTCATCTGGTGCGATGGTGGGTCTAACTGGCCTTACAGAAGGGCCTCTTTGAGGAACGAGCCAAGTTGTTTGGCCTAAGAGTTCAATTAGTATTTGGCAGCAGGAGGGAGAATGATTCAGGGTATATCACTCACCAGGTCACCATGCATCATTGAGAAGTGGTTGCCAGGCATGTGCCTCATGGTCATCTTGTTCACATCCAGGTACTCGTCCCACCGGTTGGGTCCGAAGTCTGTCCTGTTGTCCAGCAGGAACAAGGCATGTCCAGTCGGATATGGGTCAGGTCTTGGGTCTGAAGGCAAGTGGCAAACACCGTCCTCGCACCAGATCGCCATGACGTTGGGGCACTTGTCCTTGGGGATTGGCTCCGCGGTGTAGTTGCTCAGCGCAGTCACCGAGGCAGCGAAGTGCGGAAGCAGCCACCCGGGAATCTTCTTCTCGTCACCATCGCCAAGTAGTCCAACGTTGGCAAACCAGGCATGCAGACCCGCCGGAAGTGGCTCGATGGTGACGGGGCAGGGCGCATCGATGATAATCAGGTTGTCTACGCGCTCGCCGGCCTGTGTCAGCTGCACGACGATTTCGTACGCGATCACACCTCCTGCTGACCATCCAGCGAGACTGTAGGGTCCCGCAGGCTGGCGTCGCTTCATCTCCTCGATGAACTTGCTCGCCATTCCGTAGACACCACAGTGATACTCCTCGGGAGTCTTCATGAATGGGGAGAAGAGACCCCATACAGCCCAGCTAGGCGAGACATTGGAGATTTCAGTGTATGATGTTGCACTCCCGCTACCATCCGGTACCATGAAGAGGTGCTTTGTAGCAGTACGGTGGCTTCCCTGCAAGAGCACAGAGGACGCCTTGCGATTTGGGAAATCGTCAACAATGCGCGAGGGACGAGGTGGCTTTGGGATGGTGGCAGTCACCATCGATGGAGGCAAAAGCTTCTGGGACGCAGACGGCTGTGGGGCCTCGAACTTGACCTGCTTCACAGCAGACTTGGGAGGTGCCGCTTTCTTTGGTGCCTCATTGATTCCTAGAGACCGTTCAACATCTTTGAGAGATGGATTGGCGACGAAAAGGTCTGAGGGGATGTCGAGGCCGGTCCTTTCTCTCAGAGTTCCAAGGATGGAGAGACTCATCAGGGAGTCCATGCCAAGATTGGCCAGGTCAGGAGCTGCGATGATCTCCTCAACCTCAACACCCATTTCGGAAGCGATGGTTTCCCGAATGGCTAATCTCAGACTAGCAGCGTTCCCGCTACCCTCCTTGGGAGCAGTCTCGCCTTTGATTTCGAGATTCTCTGACTCGTCATCAGGTGTAGTGACGTCGGACTCAGAGTCCATCAGCTCGGGTGTCTCAGTCTCAGAGCTGGAGTCGGCAGAGTCGCCAGAAGAAAGGATCCCTATGGAACCAGGCTTCTCGAACTGCTGCAAGTACGACTTGAAGCTACCAATTGACGAATGCTCGACGAAGACGTGAGAGTCAATGTCAAGGTCCAATTCCTCACGGATACGACCAGACACGGTCAAACCCATCAGTGAGTCGACACCCAGATCGGCGAAGGCGATGTTGTCAGCAAGCTCGTCATGGCTGACACCAACCTCCTTCGCCAAAATGTCCATGACCTGAGAGACGACAGATGCTAACTTCTTATTGACTTGAGACAGGTTGGTTGGAGTGAGCATCTTCTTCTCCTTGACTGGGGCAGACTTGGCGGCGGGTTTGACAGCGGGAGCAGGGCGAGCGCCAGCAGGTGCAGCTGCAGACCCGCGAGGTGGCAGGACGATGTTGAGAACCTTGCGAGGAATAGCTTGGAAGCGGATGTCGCCAGTGATGCCGATGAGCCTCTCACCATCGAAGACATACACATCACCTGCCATCATCTTGGTGCCCTTCACGGGCTGCATTCGGATATACGAACGGTAGTCCTTGCCAGCCACTGGAGTCTCAATAAACCTCATTGAGCCCCAGCCGTGCGAGATGAAGACTTGCTCCCGGGAGTCAACTGCATCAGTGCCGTTGATGATGAATCCGGAAATGTGGCATAAGCTGTCAATGAAGAAGGGGCTGAAGTTGTAGGAGCCCTCCTTCTCAGATGATTGGAAGACAACCTTGGCTGTGGCTTCGCAAGTGTCACTATCGAGGATGACCTCCTCCATGCCTCTGTAGCGACGGTCATAGTCGACAAGAGCCGTAAAGAGCTTGTAGGCAAGGCCTCGTCCAATCTTGGAGGCCTGGCCAATCTTCTCAGCTGCCTTGAGTGACTCGATGCGACCTTTGATAAGGTAATCAGCACGCTCGAACTCGCTGGCCCAATCCTCGGCACGTCCATAGTAGACCTTGCAGTTGGCATGATCGGTCTTCTTTGCACCTTCTCCAGTGGAGAAAACAAGGTCTGCGTAGCCAGCGCCTACGTTGGCAGTAGCCTTGACACGGAGGACATGCTTCTCAATCGAATCATCGAAAATGAGGCTCTTGGGAACTTCCATCTGAGCGACGTTGCAGCCGATGTTGTCAGCATCCGGGCGGACCAGCTTGTAGGCATAGTCACAGATGGTCATGGCCATGTCGCCGTAAAGAGATGATGGGCACAGAGGCGCGCCATTCACCAAGTGGCCGCTGACAACGAGGCGCAGATCCTCTCGGGACATGTTGGACTCGGTCTCCACGGTGACAATATCACCCTTGACCTCCTCGCTGACGATTGAATGAACTGAGCTTGTAGACAGCTTTGGTTTAGCAGGCTCAATCGCAGCGGGGGCGGTAGGCAGAGCAGCACGGTTCTTGGTGAGAGACCAATCGCCAGTGTACTGCAGCCAGTAATTCTTCTCGTCGAAGGAGTAGCTGGGAAGATCCAGAATGCGAACAGATGATGAGAAGTCACTGTGGAACTCGCTCCAGTCCATGTTCAAACCAGCCGAGTGCAGTGTGCAGAGAGAGGTGCTGAGCGTCTTGTAGGCAGTCTCATTGCGACGCACGGTCGGCACCGCGATAGTTGCCACGCCGAAAGCAGCCTTGACCATGTTGGCGCAGACGGGGTGGGGACCGACCTCCAGCCAGACCGTGTGCTCGTCGATGGCCCCGGACTGTTGGGCATGAACCAGGCCGCCCAAGAAGTTGACGGCGTCGCGGGCGTGGTTCCGGAGGTATGCGGGGTTGATGGCCTCAGACTCGACCATCTTTCCCAGGAGAGGAGAGATGACAGGAATTTTCGGGGTATTGAATTTGACTGACTGAGCCAGCGCCTCAAAGTCTTCAAGAATCGGATCGACCTGAGCAGAGTGGAAGGCGAAAGGCACATTCAATTGAGTGCACTTGAAGCCAGCAGCGCTCAACTGGAAGGAGATATCAGTCATCTGCGCGGCTTCACCGCCGAGAACAGTCTCCCGCGGGCCATTGACGCACGCCACCGTGACAAGCTGTGCCTTCTCACCAAGTGCCTCCTTGACGGTATCAACAGCGCCTTGGACGGCAAGCATGGCATGTGTAAAAGCGGTACACTTCTCTGTCAGGAGACGAGCACGAGCACCGACGAGGTAGATCGTGTCGCTAGCAGACAGGACACCAGCGATGTTGAGAGCAGCATACTCGCCCAGGCTGTGTCCAAGCACAACGCTTGGCTCGATGCCCCACGATGCCCACAGTCTTGCCAGAGCCATCTCGAACGAGCAGAGCCCAAGTTGAACGACAACTGGGGACAACTTGGTCATGTCCTGCTCACTGCCATCGATCAATGGCATGAAGGAAGGAAAGCCATGGATGCGTGCGATCTGATCAAACTCGTCGATGCTTTGACGGAAGATAGAATGGTTGGCATAGAACTCCTTGCCGAGGCCGGCGTAGTGAGAGCCCTGGCCGGTGAATAAGAACGCCACCTTGGGCTGTTGTGTGTTGACAGGGGAAAATTGCTCCTTCAGCCGGTCTTGGATGGCGTTTTGTGCCTCGGAAAGATTAGAGACGGCCACGTTCATGCGCCAGTAGTGTTGAATCTTGCGAGCAGTAGTGCTGTAGGCCACATGAGATAGAGGAGTATTCGGGTGCTCTTGCATCCATGCGACAAGCCTTTCCGCATTTCGAATCATGGCGGCCTTGGACTTTGCGGTGACTGTGACGACGTGGTGGCTGCGGGCGTCCTCTGTTGCGGATTCCAGTCTTGGGGCATCCTCCAGGAGCAGGCCGGTGTTGCCGCCAGCTGCGCTGAAGTTGTTGATGAAGATCCGCCTGGGCTTGCCGTCCCGTCTTTTGAAGGGAGTTGTGTGGAATGCAATATTGACGTTGCGATCGGAGAGATCCTTGGGGAAACCCTTGTTGATCTCGCCCTTGATACCGACATGTGGAGGGATGGCGTTCTTTTGCATCATCATGAGAACTTTGCAAAGAGCTGTCACGCCAGATGCAGCTTCGCCGTGTCCTACATTCGCCTTGACAGCGCCAAGATAGAGTGGTCGGTCTGCAGGCCGCTTCCGCTCCGCCGGTGCAAACACATTTGTCACAGACAGCATCTCCGTTCCATCGCCAGCCTGGGTACCAGTGCCGTGCATCTCGACGTAGTCGACATCGAGCGGGTCGACTCCGGCTTCATCAAGGATGGCAAATGACAAGATTGACTGCGTAGGGCCGTGAGGATGCGTGATGGAGATGGCGTCAGCAGAGTGGTTTGTCGCTGTGCCAAGAATGACGGCAAGGATGCGGTCTTGATCGGCTTCAGCATCCTCTAGGCGCTTGACAATCACCGACGCGCAGCCATCGCCTCTGCAGTACCCATCTGCATCGTTATCGAAAGTAGCGCATGGCCCCTTCTTGGAGAGGAACTGCCCTCGACTCAACCCTGAGAAAATGTCGGAGTTAGTCATGCAAGAGAGACCCCCCACAATGGCCGTGTCGCAGTCGCGAGCCCAAAGAGACGAGCAGGCTACATTCATAGCAGCAGCACTCGAGGAGCAGGCAGTATCGATATTGAGACTGGGCCCGCTGAAGCCGAAGTGGTAGTTGATTCTACCAGGACCAAAGGCTCGGACACCACCTGTGATGAAGTAGGTGTCGACTTCTTGGGCGGCGTTGATCTCGCGCCAGTCGTCTGAGGTCTGACCGTAGAAGGTACCAATTCGGTCCAGCCTCGTCGACGGCGTCCTGTTTGGCACGTATCCCGACATCTCCAAAGCCTCGTAGGCCGTGGTCAGCGCCATCCTTTGCATAGGATCTGTTTGGAACGCCTCTCGAGGAGACATGTTGAAGAAACGCGGGTCGAAATGACCAGGCTTCTCGATCCAACATCCGTACGGCGTGTGGCTGGTGTTGATAGCCTTCCCCGTGGGGTCAACGTGAGTGGCGACTGGGAAGCGATCCGCAGGAATGACTCGGTGGACATCCAAGCCTTTCTCGAGGAGCTCCCAGAGCTTCTCGTGGCTTGCAGCATCGGGAAAGCGGCCAGCCATTCCGACGATAGCCAGCTTGCACTTGCCAGACGACCCATGATTTCCGATCGACGAGTTGATGCTCTCTCTCGAAATTCGTGGCGGGTTCCGAAGAATCACCTCGTGCTTTGTTGTCGATTTCAGCAGACTTGCCAATGTGCCGGCATTCTGTGTTGGGCCAAAGGGGATGACGAGGACAGTCTTTCCGTCGAAGCTCTTCGCTGCCTCAAGAGATCCATCAAGGACTTTGCTGAAAACCAGGGTATCATTAAGAATTTCACGAACAACTGCCTGAAGAAGCGAGAATGTGTCGGATTCGGCGAACCGGTTGCCAGTGCTGCAAGATATGATGGGTGATCTCGGACTAGTCTTGTGAAACACATCCTTGACAACCGCGTCTTCTAACCGTAGAATACTTGCCACATCCGCTGCTGAGTGGATATGAGCGGCATGGTACGGCCCGTAGACTGGTATCGATGTCGCCTTGGCGGGCAGGCAATGTGATTCGATGAGCGCCTTCAATGTGCTTGGCGGGCCAGAGATTGCGATGTTGTTAACCGAGACTGCGCTAATGTAGGCTTGGCTAGGGAGTGGGATGTGCTTTCCTAATTGTCAGTTGCTGTACTGTCTTACATGAGAGGAAAAGCAACTCACGTTGGACTGGTGAAACTCATCGAGTTTAGACTCGGCGAGGTCTTTCTTAACCCCTGGGAAGATGTAGGTCCAGCTCTCGGAATGCTCGACCGGCGGGCATAGTCGTTCAGCCATTGCAGCAACATGTCTACCGGTGCGGAAAGCCATCAAGACAACCTGGACAGCAACGGGGACAAGGGTTGAGAGTGTGGGTGTGGAGGTGATGGCTGCTGCGGCAAACATGCCTGAGCAGAGACCGAGAAAGAAGGTGTTGTCGTGGTGGACAACGTCTTCGTGGTGCTTTTCGGCATGGCTATGGCCCAGTTAGTTTGGAGATGCGTCCCCGCGTTGGCTTCGTATTCAGGCACGTACTCGATATAATGAGCCAGCTGGGAGATGCACAGCAGGGCTCCATCGACGCCAGGGTGCTTCAAGCCTTGTGCATGATATCTCTCGTTGAGGTTCTGGATGCTGAGAAACTTGGGCAGTTTGGATCTCTCCACCCTTGGCAGACCCTCGATCTCCTTCCTCAAAGCGTGCCGGACTTGCTCGAGGAACGCGTTGGCCAGAATGCCTCGCTCGGGTTGGCGGAAGAACTCGGCCAGGAAGCCATGAGTGTCAGTCGACTGGTCTCCAAAAAGGAGAAATGCCAGCTTGTCAGCCATGGTGAAGATGTGTTGACATGGATTGGAGCTTTGCTCTCTGTTGCTTTTACTGCGAGATGAGGCCAAGGGAGGGCACTCGTCGAGCATATATACGGTTCTGCAACACGGCCGAGTGACAAGATGCGATACGATGGCTCCACACGCCACCGATTATCCGATCTACCCTGAAGCTCAACCACAGGGGCGTGGGCCGTGAGGACGGTGTGTAACTATACACACCCCCCCATCTGAAGCCAGCCTTTCCCCCTTGGCACCGAATAACTAGCTCCGTCCGGCGGCCACGGGTTGTCGGTGACCGAAGTTGATGTGGACAGCCAGGTGGGTACCTGGGCTAAACTGGGCATCTGGTACTGGCAGAAGGCATTCATGATTGGGCCTGGTGCGCAGCCAGCGGCTCGGGTTTGGGCTGTGGTTTGAACAGGCTGAACTGCCACACCCATGTTACGGGTTCCTCCAGGCTAGGAAATTCTGAGCAAGCTCGGAATGTCCGTGTGAGGAAGCCAGAGCATGAGCCACGGCCATGGCGGCCATCGCATGGCAGCCGGAAGGGGAGCAGTGGGTGAGCGTCGGGCGCTGAAACCGAGGCCGTCCTGGTCCAGCATGTCAGTGCCACCACGATTCAGGTACCAGGACGAGGGTGTGATAGCGATGTGAAACAATGGACTACAGGGCCGCATGGCATGGTAGACTGAGGACGTGCGAGGCACGGGGCAGCGAAGGGGGCTGACCTCATGGGGCAAGCGATGGGCTGGGCGAAACTGAGCATGTAGCTCGCAGCTGGGGCCGCAGAGGCGGCAGGAACCTGGCGTAGCCAATGTCGAGGAATCTCGGTCGACTCCCTAGTCTGGCCGCTGTCAAGACACTGGTGGGTCGGTGCTGGGAGCTTGGATCTGGGAGCAGGGGCCGGACGTCCGGACATCCCCAATCATCCCATGTGCGGAGGGCATGCGAGGCGAGGCAGGGCACCATCACCTTGGGCCGCTGCCACCAGAACCACAAGACGCAGATGACAGGAGACAGGCCCGTCGGCACGGGATCGATCGGCTTACTGTGTCGTGGTGTGCGGTGCGATAAGAGAGGGATGCACACTGGCAGACAGACCGAGGTGTGCCTTGCAGGCGACGATAGTGTGTGGAGGTGGTAGTCTAGACTGCTGGGCTGTGGCGCGGTGGGTGTCGTTGGGCCAAGTCCGGTCCGGCTTACATAAGGGGCTCCTTCCTCTCAGCCTCAGCGGGACATCGGCCGGGGAGGGCACGGGCCAGGAGATTGGGGGGATCAGGGGTTGAGGGCGGGGGGAGGGTCTGGCTTGGTGGGGAATTTGTTTGCTTGTACCACGGTCTGATAATTGTGATGCACCATGCATATTGGGGGGGGGGGGAGGGGGCGGGGAGTACACGGACGGGAACGGTTACCAAGTAGACTACTCAATTGATCCTGCGGTGCGTGCAGTGCCTGCCTGAGCTCAGTCGCAGAGTCTACTACAACAGGTAGGTAGGTAGATTACCTGCCTAGGTACCTCAAGGTTGGTAGATACTCGCCAGCAGCAATACACTCTCACACCCCATCCGTGCTTTCTGGGACCGGGCCGCCTGCAACAGCAGCAGGACGCCAAGCACTTGCTCGGTACGTCGAAAGCGTGCCAGGGTACCAGAGTACCTGGTTGGACTGTGTGCTGGACGACACCTGTCATGTCACCTCATGTCACCCCACAGGCGTGTGAAACAAAACCGCCCCAAGTTCAACGACGGTGGTGTTTCTCATTCCCAAACCTGTCCCTTCCGTACCGACGGGGCGCCTCATCGCCCACAGAACAACCGCCGCCCGTCTGACCGTCTACCAAAACAACGGTCGTTGACGCTGTTGCTGGGCTAGCCGGCAGGCTACCTGTCTCTTTGGTAAAATAGGTACTCGCGGGCAGGCTGACCGCATGGCACAGGACCGAGTGGTTCGACCCAGGGATTCGGATCCGTGGGCGCCGGGCGCCACCCGCACTGGCACTTGGCCCAACGCGAGATACGGCCAACGGCCATGCCACAGGCACCGCCCTCCAAGACCCATCGGCCGAACGGGCCAGATCCATGGCTCATCATGGCCCCTTCTTTGGCTTCTCCGCCCTTCTTCTTTCACGTGTCACTGGCCTAGAGCGCTGACTCTCCTGCACAGCTCCTCGATCCTGTCGTATGACCGGCCTCTCAGCCAGTTTCTCCAGCGGTGCGACTGCGATCGCTTCCGCCCACCGCAGTCTGGACTTCTGTCCTTCTGCCTGGCTGGCCGGCTTGCCAGCTTGCTGGATTGGTTCGACTGGCTGGTCAACCAACGCTCACTCAAGATTATTCATCCGCCTTGGCCTCTCCTGTGCTATGGCTCAGGCCTCGGGAGTGCCCTATTTCTGGTGTTCCCAATCCGCCATGGTTACGGAATACGACAATACACTGGTGGTGTTCTGCACAGATCGGCATGTTTTGGCCAGACTATTGGCATCTCTTCCTTATCATGGGCTAGAAAATAGCGCCGATATGCCCGGTGCCTTGGGTCCACCCATCTTGGACCGCTTTTTGGGGCCGTGGACTTAATCCTCTGTAGTGATCCCGCTGGTGCTTCCCCTGGTTTCTCGGGACGCTCGATCCGACCAGCCTCGCAAGCGGAAACCTCCCGCCGACCAAGAGCTCGAACTAAGCGGCTCCCGTTGTCATAGCTCTCGTCTTGTTTCAACCGCACCGAACCCGTTGTCCGCACACCCCATCTCACACGGGGAAGACCGGCTTACTCTCAAAATTCACCGGCTCCATGCCCAGAATAGAAACAGGGCAGCGCCATCGCGTCATTGCCATATCAGAACGACCGTTTGTTTCAATCCAGTCCAAGAGCCCGAGCCGCAGTGCGTCCCTTTCTTTCCCTACCGTCATCGTCTGATACGGTGTGCTAGGCTGTTGGGAGTCCTCGGTTTCGATTTATCAGGCAGAGTCATGGCAGTGCGTGCAGCCAGGCAGCCCAATCCTGCAACGTTGCTCTCGGACGTCCGTTCCTACTCCATACAGGCACTATCACCAACTACTGCCACACTTGGCTAGATTTTCGTCACATCACCATCGCTACGCACCAGGACCCGTGCCATCGAGCCCTCTCGGCCCTCGCAGTCGTCGGCCCAAGCTCCCCTGGCCGGCACAATCTTGTCTGTACTGAAGATGAACTGGGTCCTTGGCCTCATCACCGGGCGGTCTCAACGCAGCTAACATGTCCGCAGGATCTGACTTGAACAACTGCACGGATGGTCTCCTGAAGCTTTGGTGGAACGATTCCTCTTGTTTGCAATGTCGTCAGTGGCCCGGCAGGCTGTCTGGTCTTCTCTGATGGGATGCGTGCCGAGCGCTGCGCTGCGCTGCGCTGCGCTGCGCTCCACAGTCTCGTCGAGAAATCGCACGCCCAGCGCATAGCAGCCTTGGGAATCCTCACCGGTATGCTAGACTTCCCCTCTTTCTCTACCAAAACATATGTCGTCAGCAAGTTCATTCCCCATCGCGGGGTCGGGCTGGCAGTGGGAGGGCGCACCTCTTGTGCTGGTGCGTGGGGATTTGCGGACGGCCGCAGCATCCAGCTGCTGGGCTAAATGTCGCGACACCGCGGTGCCTTCCTAGGCAGTAGCCATTTCCTTTCGCATTTCTCTTGTAGACTCGCATCGGACCGAATGAGTTCAGCGGGACGGGGTTATTGCCACCCGCAAGGTCAAACACCACTGGGTGATACAGACCTCCGGGAGAAGGAACACAGACGATGTGAATCCTTTGCTTTGCGACTCGAGCCGCGATGCGGTTTCGAAGTTCAAAATGATATCCACTTTGGAGTGTTCCATGGAGCCCAAGTTGATGAGCACTGCAGTAAACACGAGCCTCCATGTTTGTCTGAGGACATCGCGATCCGATGCCTCAGGTTCGGTACCGGACGCGGCTCTAATGCAATAAGAGCAATTCTATGAGCAAGGACAACCTTGTGCCCAAGGTCCTCAGCGCAAGGCTATGCAGCTGCCCGCAAGAGATCTACTCTCTCGATCAGTATGTGTCTCATCCGACGCACGCCTTACGCAGCCCTGGCTCCCACAGCAGTCATCCCGGTTGCACGGGAAGGCCTTCTAGAAGAACCTCACCTTGCACAGGCAGTCAGTCCCTCCGCCCGGAAGTGACCGACCCTTGCTCGCATCAACATGCTCCCGTCGCAAGAGCTTCCGCGCATCGCGCTGCGCGCACCCCGCAGCGCTGTCTCGTCCACCGGTTGATCAGCATGTGCCTTGTGTCGTCAGATCTTTTTTCTCACATGCCGTCGTGGCACGGATCGGACGTGCTGAGAATAGCATGAACAGTTTTGTTGATAACACTGCCCAACCCCCCACACAGCGAGCCCCGTTGGTCTCCAGCATAGCCAGTCATGGGCTGGAATCCTCTCCGTGGGCTGAGATGCCAGTCCGCTCTCTCGCCTCCGCCCGCGTACTAGAGATTTTCCCCCAAGTCCATATGGGCAAATTATTACACTAGATCGGTAGACTGCACGATTATGCTGAGCTTACACTCAGAATCCAGCCGCACCCAAGATCTGGGGTTACCCGAGACGGACATATGTTGAAACAGAGACAGAGGCCAGTAAGAGCGCAGCGATGACATTTCGGGCGCCCGCCCTGCTCCAATGGGCAGGCTGAGCTGGGTGGCACAGTCATCGGAGCTTACGCCTGCTAATGCTGGCTTTGTGCGATGGTGAACATCAACTATGGCTCTCCAGCTTGTGATTGATTCCCAGGACTTGCGTGGGGACTCCGATCCCCTCCTTCATGGCAGTATATACAACTCGTGCCTTTCTCCCACCATCTTTTGCGCCATGTCCAGCCATCTTCGCAGCCCCGCCCCGATCTATCAGCACAGAAAGCATCTCCATGGGGAAAAGAACACGTGCAGTCTCGTCATTCTTCCCAAAGATGGCCAGGTACCACTCATCACGCTTCGGGAGACTGCGACAAATCGTGGGCAAATACGTTCCTTCAGATCTGTTCGCGCTCCTTCTTTGGAGCCCCATTTAAACATCACGTGAAAATCACCAAGACGCCTCGCAGGGCCAAGGAGAAGATATATGCGCTATTCCGTCACTACCAATATATATATCTATGTACCTGGCTTCCGGGGCACCCGTGCCTGCAGCCTCTATGATAAGGTATGATATGATTATGCTGCCGCGCGACTGGTTGATTCCAGACACCCCCCCTCGCCTTCCAAACTACACGGTCTCCTCTGCTCACAAAAGGGACGAACCGATGTACGCAAAGAAATGAGATGTGAAGCGGCGCGCATGCTAAAAGATTAATCGCAAGCAGGCAATCACAACTTAGTGCGGACTATACGAGAACGAGGCTTGGGGGCAGCGGTTGGTTCATACAGAGCACTATTTCAGAGTCAGTCTCAACATCACACACACACACACGTCACGGCGTCCATGCCGCAAGGCAGACTCGGAAGCTTGAATCTCCCCCCAAAAAGGGGAAAAAGGGGCACCCGCCCGCAAGAAGACTCACCCGGTGTATGTAGCAGGGTTTACAAAAAGCATCCCCGCCGTGTCGGTGTAGTTCTGGGTGTTCCCGGCCGCGTTCCCCTGGTACGGAAGCCCCAGCGCCTTGCAGGCGGCGATGTGGTCCGGCGGGAATGTTAGGCCCCGGAGCTTGTCGGGGTCCTCTATCACCGTCGCCGTCAGGCCCATCTCGACGTGCCACTCGTTGTGGCAGTGGAACAGCCAGGTGCCCGGGTTGTCGGCGCAGAACCGGATCACGGCGTGCGACTTGGCGTTGACCACAACGCCGTCCTTGTATGCCGGGTGGGTGGGGAAGTTGGAGGTGTCGCCGGAGAAGGACCCCGAGTTGGAGGCCGGCGCCGCCAGGACCTGGAACTGGTGGCCGTGCAGATGGAAGGGGTGGCTACCAGTGTCCAGATTGTTGACGACGATCTCGATAATCTGGCTCGCGGGGGCGATAAAGGGGTTGACGCCACCATAGACGACTGGGTTTGAGTTGTCCTCGCCGGTGGTGGCTGCAGAGTACAGCGACGGTACTCGCTGGGGCACGTATGGCTTGCCGTTGAAGCATGAGCGCGGGATGCTGTTGTTGTCGAAGCAGAATTGGACGTCAAGCGTTATGGTCGTACCAACGGGGCCAAGAGGCCCCTCCCCAGTGGGGTTGCTGAAGAGGCTGCTATCGACAGGGTTCCACACATTGACAACGTCGACAGAGGTGCTGTTCTGGGATGGGTCCGTCACCAGGTATCCGGTCTTGTTGTAGGGGAAGCCGAGGACCGGAGCACGGAAGTCTGGGTTGACATCGAGAGCAAAGAGGAATGGGTAGTTGCCGCTGTCGCTGGCCGCAGCCGAGATCAGGACGTCATACCGCTGGCCAGGAGCCAGATAGATCTGAGAAGCCTCGGCTTTGGTTATGTACGACCCATCCTGCATTATCACCTGCAGCGTGTGATTTTGGAAGTGGGCCAGACAAGAACCAAAAGCGGCGAAGTTTATCATCCTAAAACGATAGGTCTTCCCTTTGTCGAATTTGATTTGAGTGCTTCCTCCTTCGTTGATGAGGATACTGTCTGGCAGCGGAGGTCGGAATTGCGTGTTACTCGGTTGAAGCATAGCCTGCACAAGCGGGATAGTCTGGGAGTGGTACCTAGAAAGACCGGCCTTGTTTTAGCAATCAAGCGTGTGAAGTTTCCTTGTAGACTTCATCTTACCAATCAGTGCAAGTGAGGATGACCTCTTCGTCGACCTGGTCCTTGTATGGGTCCGCAGGGTCGTGGATAACCAGTGGGCCTCTGAGTCCATCGGGATACTGGCCCATTTGATGGGAGTGATACCAATATGTCCCCGGTGCATCAGCCTGATTGGACAAGGTTAGCCTCATCTCATCCAGTCCCTTTGATAGTTGCCAAGGAGCACATACCAACCACTGATAGGTCACCGACGAGCCAGGAGGGACGGAACATTGTGTGGTAGAGGAAGGGCCGTCCATCTCAGGCGTGCCCTTCTGGTTGATACCATGGAAGTGGATACCAGTCGTCTCATTCCCCAGCTTGTTGTCTACGTGGACGATGACGGTGTCGCCAACATTTGCCTCCAGTATGGGGCATGGCCAGGCTCCATTGATGCCTATCACCGGCCGCGAGTATCCATCCGGGGCAGCATTCACCCACGTGATGTCCCAGTAGACTTCAACAGTGGCGGCGCATGCGAAGCTGACCAAGCCCAGGAGCAGAATGGAAGAAAGTGAATGCATCATAGCAGGGTAGACGCGTCCAACCACGACAGATGAGGTCGCAAGCAACGGACGAACGGCTGGCGCAGTGGCGAAGGGTGAGAAAGTACCAAAGGACACTGACAGGTGGACCACGTCTTGTGCGCAGATCAGAGGGTGCGAGACATCTTTAAGCAGACAGGCAGATGAGCATGTCTAGCTGCACGACACATGGGTTGCCTTTTTCGTCCAACCTGCTATGCCATGTGGCGGTCCTCAGGTGTACCCCTGCTACACCTTCTTTAATAAAGCCCCAGGAAAAACTAGCCGATATTCCCAGGGCCTATATAGTGTGCATGGTGAGGCATGGTGAGGCATGGTGAGATTTGAGGCTGAGATGAGAGGGCGCTCATCATCTTGGACGCCATCAGACCGTCAGTCCAAGGCAGGCAGTATCATTATGCGAGCTGCCATAATCCGTCGAGCTGGTGGCCTCGGGCGTGTGTGGTCACTCTGTCTCATGTTGAAAGCTGAGTAGCAATGCAAGTAGCAGCCCGGCAGTGCCTGCCGTGTATCTCTGCCGTTCTGGAGCTGCCCCTGTCAAGATATCGAAACGACCCTATCGAGTCCTGACGCGCCGTGTGCAGAAAGTCAATTCTAAATGCCAAGTGATCTGCCGATAGCGTGGTTACTGAAGGCCAGTCTGCCGGGATTATACTTCGTCCTGCCTGCTTGATGTTACCTTTCAAGTCTGCGACGTCCCAAGAGGGAAATCTGTCCGTGACAACAAGCCCCAAGGATTACACGTAGCGTATCGAAGCACACCGCTAACTTAGCACCAGAGGCCAATGGTGGCTTGGTAGTATGCCCTGGTGCGCTCGTCTCAGGGGTCTGAGGAGAAGCAAGCCCTGGGACGACCCGAGTGTGGGACCTAATCAACCTTAAAGGCCGGTGAGTCGGGACCGACTTGGCCGAAACCGGTCTCCTTGGAGGAGGCACAGTTCACGCGGACGGTGGACCTGACACGGCACAAGTATTGATTGACGAGGACGTCACCGGGAGAGCTCAAGCCATCATGTCGAACATGTGAACCAGAAAGCACGGTTGTGGTTGCAAGCCGTATACGGGCTACGGAAGGAGGCGTTAAGAAAAAGCAGGCGAGAGAACTCTTGGTGTGGAAGCCCCAGGCGACAAGCCGCACCGCACGGCGCAACGGAGGCCGGGGGTGGTCTCGCTCGTCATGTGGGCGAAGCCTCCGGCCGCTGATTCCCGCAGCCAAGGCGGGCGGGGCGCAAAGGTGCGAGATATGAGGGCCCGGGAAGAAGGAAGTGAGCGGGAGGTGGGCGGCTTCATCTCAGTTGTCAAGCAGGCTGGCTGCTTACTGCCCGCCATTGTGCTGGGAAAGTGGGCTGACGAGGGTCAGCCGTCAGCCCCAATGTGATTATGCTGGGGCCTAGTTAGCTTATCATTCGACTTGACCAACTGGGTGGACGACAAGATTCGAAGCCGTCTCCACAGCTGAGCGCCCAAGTGGCTGACTTGAAGGGCGTGGAGGGCATCTCAGCCTCCGCCGTCAGCGCGAGGGCGAATGGGGGGTTACATGCCAGACGTGGTATATCCTGAACCAAGATACGGCATGCAGGTCGGCGTGTTTCTGCTGTGCATGGTGGGCCTAATGCAGTGTAAGCACACTTACATGTACATTGGATATTACAAAGAAATATCCCTGTCCAATGACCTTGTCCTGTTGCGAGTACGAGGATGCGGCTGCCGTACCTGTGGCCCCAGGCGAAAGAGGTAGAGCTGGACAGAGGTATGACCAGGACCCGGGCCAATTTCCCCATCGTGCAGCCTGGTTTACGCCCTCTCAGCAACAGCAGCTGCTGCTACTTTGTGTTGTGTTGAGACGAGGTGGTCGGGAGAACAGGCCCAGGGTGGAGTTGGACAGACGAGGAAAAGCAGACAGCTCCCTGTTGGTTTGAGGTGACGTCTAAAGAAGCTCGGGCAGGGTCAGGGGTCAGCACCAACGCTTGCCAACGCTTGGCCCACTGCAGCCGCTTCGGCCATGGGCTGAAGTAAGTAGCGGGACCAATCAGATGCTCGCATGCTTTGCAACCTGCACGGTCAACTTGATCATGGCCAAGCCTGCTTGACACTCGAGTGCCGAGCTCTGCAGGCCAGGACTGGCCAGATGCGCGTCAATCAGCGCCGGTGGTTAGGCAGATGTCCTCTGGGTGGCTCGATGGGCGCAGGACGATGCCTATTTCATGCTCTGGGCAGATCTGATATCAGCTGGAACGGCTGAAGGTAGATCAAGTGGAAGCATATTGATCCTTCTCGCCCTCCACCGCCCTACGATGCAACCCTCCCACTTGCCGACGCTGCCTGTCCAACGTCATATGTCCTGCCCAAAACATTTCCATTTGTTCATGGCAGCCCTGAAACCTCAGTACGCCCCGCCCTGCCGGGCCGTGTCGGCGAGGTGTCAGCGTCGGTGGCGGGGAGACCCTCGTAGGGCTTTTATTGTTTCCAGTCGCGGGCAAGGATGTGCTCGGGAGACCCAAAAGCAAAGTCTCAGATGGGTTATTCCCGGCCACCCTTCATCTCCAGCTACGCATGGTGGCACAAGCAATAGGGAACTGCCTGTACCAGGCTCTCTGAACCCCCCCAAAAAAAAAAGAAAAATAAGTCATGTATGTGGATTAATGATGGGACGAACGAGCAGCATGCCCTGTCCCTGATTCATTTCCCACATGCGGGGAGGCAACTACTGCGGCGTGAGATAAGTCACAAAAGCACAGCAAAGCACTAAACACCGAGGTGAGTAGGCTGCTCAGGTCATACGTTCACCCGATGTTTCCTATCCTGCCACACCTGCTGTCGCTCTGCCAACGCACAAAAAAGCTTCATGGACGCCATCGTCGCCCAATCTATCGAAGTTCAACCGGATCATCCTTCCACGTCGTATCGTATCGTGGGGACCACAACCTGGGCGTGACGATCCCGGGCCAGGCTCCCTCGGACCCGAACGTCAATCAGCAGTGAGAGACTGGGTGGGGGGGAAAGAGAAAAAAGGTGGGTATTAGTAACACAGGTCCCCACGTGTGTTACCTTTCACCACATGCGCCGTGGACGCCTGGCTTGCCCCTTTGGGAAATTCAGAGGGTTTACCTACCCCCAGGTCAAGCTTGCCCACACGCTTTGACCAACCGACACGCGGGTGACCCGGGAAAACCTTGCTCACGAGACGCTGTGCCCATGCGTGCTGCGATTTCCCTTGATGAAGACCAGTGGGCCCTCAGGGGGTGAAACGTTGGGCAAGAGTTCCCGAACGATAATATCTCCCAAGCAGGGCCGTTTCTCCCCGTGGTGCAAGGCTAATGCAGACCCACTCGGATGATTCTCTCTAAAGTGTGCAACGGCTAGCTCATTAGGCCTTTTCTGTTTCTGTCGTGCACACGAGGCTTGCCCCGGGTAGCGGTCTTGCTTGGCTGGCCACGCTGTCGCTGACTATCCTCCAAACATCGACTGATGTGCCCTCAAGCAGGCGAGGACGCGTCGGTGTCCTGATGAATCCGAGACATCTCTATATTTCACGTCATGGGGGTGGAAGTGTGGCGGTGTGGGAGAGCATCGAGGGCATAATTGCAATTACGGCACGTTGAATTGTGCATTGCATGGCCTTCTATCAGGCCAAGGTTGCCGGTGGCGGGTCGTGCGAGATGATGTCTCTCAGAGGCATGAGAAAAGTAGTACACACGAGGAGACAATCTAAAGGCTGGTCCCGAGAGACATCGTTGACCGGTTCGTTCCGCATGTTGTCTGCGGTCTCATGATACTCTCTCCTGAGACCTTTTCACGCCTACCCAGTCTCTGGAAATAGGAACATATTCGCGTGGACTCGGCTACTTTTTCCACTGCCTGGAGCAATAGCTCCTCAGGCCGGTGTGCCCCTTGTCCTTGTGTTGACCGATGTATACATCATCGTAGTAGAGTTGGCTATCGTGCAGATGATCCAGGTGATGCCATGCCCACGTTCCCGCACGCTTCGGTCTCGCACTGCATCATTCTTTGACGCCAATTCCAAAAGCAAAGAGGCTCGATACGTCTACTCCCATTGCTAAATCTGCGCCCTTGCCATGGGATGAATCATCATTCTGAATACTTTCGAGGCGTATCGAAAGTCGAGGCGCTATGGACGATGTGTGCCATGCTTAATCGGCTTTGGGGCTGTGATGTAGGCCACCGAGCAGAATCTGTCCTTCACTTGGCGACAAAAGTTTATTGTGTTCGGGATGGCAGGTCTCAGCGCTTTGCAGTGACTTTTTGCGTAATGAAACAAAAAGCTTCGTGATCGAGACTGGAGTTGCTCAGCTTCGTGTCAATAAATTATAGATAGACTCGTTGTGGGACCGAGTACATATGCCAAATATATCATTAATCATAAAGCCACCAGGCCCTCTACGCTGTGCGAGACCATCATCTATTGTCTTCATGTCCAAAGTTTCTAAAACAAGACCTCTCTGACCGTTCCCGTCTTGCCAATCTCGTACTCAACCCATCTCGCCATGCCTCTCCTCCCTGTGACAAGCAGCGACCCGGGGTTCATAACATGACACCCTTCATACGTGACACAGAAGGACGGCGCCGTAGCGTCCACGAGGATCATGGCCGTGGGGAGAGGGTACAGATGCATCGAGCCCGCGTAGTCCCAGTGCACAGGGCGGACCGACTGGCGGAACGGGGCGAGGTAGCCTTGGTCCAGGACCGTCTTGACCAGTTTTCGGGCGGCAAGGATGTCATAGGGGACCTCAGGCTCCGAGTGCTTCGTTTTCTTCCGCGGCGTAGAGGGGTCCACGTCCATCTCGTCAGGAAGCGGTTCGCCCTCGCCATTTTCCAGCGCATCGTTGGCGCCTGACATGTCCATATCCTCGCCGTCCGGTGGCTCGTCGCCGTTCTCTGCGTCCCGGGGCCGCTTCAGACGGACGGCTGACCTCCTCAACCTGGCCGAGATGTCGTCTCGGAACAGGACAACTTCGTGGCATGGCCCAAATAAACTCAGCCGGCTCGGGTTTGATGTGAAAATAGCCTCGCCACTGCTCTCCTGTCCTCCCTTTGTGGCCTCACTGTTGGCACTCGCAAACGTTCTCCTTATCCTGCTCGTAAACAAATCTGGTACCGATTTCCTGGGAAGGGGCGTAGCCGCACCCGCAGAGAATGCCGAAGCCCAGCCGTCGTTGTCTCCTGGCACAAACACAAATGTAGCGGAAGTGAGGAGCATGGGGAACTCTGCCAGAACCGCTGCCAAAGAGTCGAAATACTCTTTGTACTCCACGCTGCCTCCACTCCCACCTCTAGCCATGACCGCATGCTGTGTGAAATTCCCTGTAAACACGAAGCACAACGGTGTTTCCCCCTCGGGCTCATTCGCATAGCCTGATAGGACCTTCTTCACAGCTTGCAGCGTTCGTGGCTGGTCGAGATTCATCTCTCCCAGGACCACCATCCTTCCCCTGCCCTTGTCTGGATCATCCTCAGACAGGGGCCTCCGGAGTAGCCTCTGCTGTACTCTCCTCATACGAGAGCCCGTGGCCCGCTCACTGCCCACACCCAAGAAGTCGATCCACCCGAAGCCCCCGCCAATGGTGTCGCTATCAGGACCACTGACGCCCAGGGTCACGCGTCGCTTCTCGCAGGGCGGCTGGCCTATTAAGAAGCCCTGGAATCGTCCACCTAGGACACCTCCAACGCCGGAACTTCCACTCAGGCCGACTTTGCTGCCAACCGAAGCATCCTCATCTTCCTCGTAGACACCGTCGATAAGGACGATCATACCGGGTGTAAACCACGACGAGTCCTCCGGGATGGCGACTGCTTGTCTGAGATCAAGCTTGATCGAGCCGGTGAGGTCACTGACAGCCAGATTCCCGGTTGGTAGGACGGTCAGCATGCCTAGAAGCATGTGTTGGCTGCCGTGACGGCCAAGCAGATTTGCTATCGGGGTGATTTTGTGGAATGCTGATGCACCTGGGTCAGACTTTTTGGCAGAAGTTGCGCGGGCCGCGGAAACAGCGGATGTTTGGAAGGACTCGTTGCGGAGAAGACGTTGGTGGATGACATTGAAGCGGTTGCGGAATACTATTGTCTTGTGAGAAGCTGGTGGCATCAATGACGGCTTTTTGGTTTCCCTGATTTCATTATCGTAAGCATGTCCTCTGAACTCTGGCCATTCTGGGATTCAAGTACTCACCTCTCGAAGTGCTTCTTCTCCACGTTGTATATATATCTTGGCTGCTCCAGCGCATTGATGACTTTCAGCCACTGCCTCGGGTCCTTAATATCATCCTCCTGATCCTGGTCGACCTCCAACGATGACATTCCGAAACTTGTCTGGCTCTCCTCACGCGTCAGCGCAGCCATTGGTCTCAGACCCAATCTCGCGTTGGACACATCGCCGTCCTCCTGTTGCGCATCCAGGAGCAGACTGTTTTGTCGACTGAGGCCCCTAGCACCAGTGACGACCCTTCCACCACTCATGTTGCCCTCCAATGCCTTTAGGATCTCTTTCAATTCGGGATTTGCTGCGTCAACGATGACTCCTCCGTTCCTGTTCTTCCATGATCGCGCGGCCTCCTCCAGCACTTTCTCAGCCAGACCTTCTTCCCGCCATCCTGAACCGCAGTGCCGGCCAATGAAGCTTGCCAGCTCCTGTAGTGCAGAAGACGTTAGGGTGAGCGAGTGTTTCTTGGTGAAGGTTCGGAAGGCGAGAGGCCGTAGAGTCGCAGCTGGGAGCAGAATCGGCAGTATGGGAGCTTGCTTGCTTGTGGAGATGCTGAAGGGTCTGACGGGGTGCACTGGTGTTCCAAAGGCCGGCGATGATGAGGGCGCAGCGGAGGACAGAGGCGCAACGCCGCGGCCAGTGAACATGGCGCCGGCGATGTCCTTGTGCTTGCGCCGTTTGCTCGGACTGAGGTTCATGGCTGGTTTCTTCTCTGTTCCGGAAATTCAAGAATGGCTGTGGTGTGCTAGTAACAAAAAAGAGGCTGGTACAATCATAGCAGGGTGTCGTTGCGTGGTGGGTTCGTCTGTCCGTCAGGAACATGCAGTTCGAGAATCAATTAAAACGCGTCTTAGACGCGTTGTTAGCGTGGGGCCGTTGTGCAAGGATCACAGCTGCATCTGCGGTTGCAGGGGTGCTCTTGGTGGGTGTCCAAACCCCGGTCCCTGGTTCCCGACAGGACTGAGATGGACATGAGCCGCTGAGGAAGATACCACTGCATCATTTGCCAGTACGGGTGCCTAAGACAACACATTTTTCTCAGGAATTACAGACATAGCCGAACACTCCGAGGAACTCATGCTGATCAAATGTTTCTGCGCCATCTAGCCGCGAATCAATCCTAGAACTGAGACTATAAGGCGATCCCACGTAACTGGTCTAACATCACCGCATTGGCAATCATCTGATCGGCACAAGTAGAGGTTATCCGGTCTGCTGAGCTTATCACATTGCGCTACATGGCTCCGGCAGCACTCAGGTGAGTTGCGAAACTGGCTTCACATCCACGCCTCCAGCGCCTCGCCGTACAACGTCTTCTCCACCAACACCTCGCCTTCCACCCAGCCAGCATGCAGCGGTCTCATTATATAGCATGTAGATCTTTATAACTTGAGAATGTCCTGCAGAGGCAGGCCCCAATACCAAGACGCGATGATCATCGAGCCCAGAGACATGGAGAACGCCATCAGAAAGTTGACATCGTTGTTGTCGAGAATATCCCAGCCGGACTCGACCACTCTCGAGGGCCTCTCGTCACCAAAGCTTGATTTCCGGTGCTTGTTCTTGGGATCGTACTTGTCCACGCCCTCGGCGTCATCCACTGCCGAGCTCCCCGTCTTCTCCACCGCGCGCTTGCCCTCGCCGCTGAGAACGGCGGACTTGACCTCCGCCCGCTTGAGGTTGTGCTCCGACTTGCGGGCTGGAGAAGAGATGAGGACGCGCTCGCCGCCCTCACCCTCGACTATTCTCCCGCTCCGGACATCCCTCACGCTGCGCTGGAATACCGCCCCGAGGACCGAATCGAGCACACTGCCAAGCGCACCCCACAGTGTCAGGGCGAACATCAAGGTGTTCCTCTGCGGCAGCGTCCACGGCTGACCCCCGCCGAGCTTCCCGGCTGTTGTTTCGTTGCAGAAGGGCAAGAACAGCATAGATGTTACGACGATGATCATGCTTCCCAGCAATCCCGCACCCAGTCCCGTAAGTGTGACACCGCCGTTTGTGCCCGGTGGCACCTTTCGGAAAGTGGGCGACGTGATCAGCCGTGGCGGACCCTTGGCGAGAATACCAAGCTCTGACGAGAAGGTGTCGGCAGCGACGGCGGCGTAATTTGCGATGATACCGATGACGAGGATGTCACCGCCCCAGGCGAAGCAGAACGATCCTTCGGGAACGGCTTCTTGTTGGGTAACGGACGCCGCGCGTTGTCGGAGCTGGTACGCATGGAGGATAGAGAGGATCGAGGCGACGGCCGAGTTCGCGAGGACTGCATGGGGGAAACAAGGTCAGTCGATGCTGTAGGGCACTTTCGGGGGAAGTCGGGGGAAGGGGTCAATACCTTGAATATGGTTTCGCGGCCCTTCACCACCAGAAGTGCCTTTCGAGGCCATGGTCAGCTTTGCCTTGACATCTTCTTTCACCTAAAAGTACATCAAGTCAGCTCTTGCTGTCAGCTGGCCTGAGAGTCTCGGGGTCGCCTTACGTGAGTAACTCGAGTGCCGGCGAGAAAGAAGACACAGAGGAGGGCGAAAGGCAGGTTCCACGGGTGTACTGCATGGGCGATGCCTGTGAGGGTGGCTGCAATGAGACCACCGGTCGTTAATGATTTCTTAGAGTAAGCCCGAAAGATCATCAGCCCGAGAGCGGGCGCTGCAATGAGGGGCTTCATGTTGCTGAAGCGGCGTTTCGACCGGATCTTTGGAGCTGAGAGAAAGAGTGCTCAGGTTGAGAGCATATTCGTCGCAATGAAGGAAGTAACAGAGAAAGAGACGGAGAGGTTGGCGGACGAGTTTGGTGTGCCAACGGCTGACATCACGGCCTTGGCTTTCCGGCTCAGGTGCTGTGAAGTCATTGTCCAGGGGCGAGCTATAGCTCTTATCAGGCGGTTTCTACGATTATTAGAGGAGCTTATCGGCTGGAGCGGCCAGGCGCAGTTGCAAACCCGCCAGCTACTGTGTGTGGAAAACGAAGTGCAGCCCCCCCTGTCATTTTGACTCGTGTTCCCCCCCTCCGCTCCAAAATCTCAAATCCTCCTAATATAAGCTATTTTTTATATAACTATTTTAATATAAATAATTATATTATTAATACATATATTTTTATAATCTTTATAATTTTAAGAATATTTATAAAATATATATAAAAATTGTTATAATTTAAGCTTTGCTTATTATAATTAATTAATAAGTTTTAGCCTTATAAAAATAAGCTTTAATGCGGGTATAAATAAGGAGCAAACCTCTTTCTTTGCACTTTAAATATTAACCTTATTTAAATACCTTTAACTTTAAAAAATAAAGCTAACTTATAATATATATTTAAAGTTTTATTATATTATAAATTTATAATATAATTATATAAAACTTAATATAATAAAACTTAAAAAAAATAATAATGGCTTATTAAGCTTTTTTTATTTTAAAAATATTTAATAACTTAATTAATAAAAATAAAGGTTAAATTTATAATAAATAAAAAAGTAATTAATATTAAAAGAGCTTAATTTTTTTATATATTTAATTAATTAAAAACTTTTTATAATTAATTTTACCTTATATTAATTTTATAAAAATATTTAAAAGATAATTAAAAAGCTTTTTAAAAAAGGTTTACTTTATATTTAAAAACTTTTTTAAGTAAAAATATATTAAGCTTAGCTTAATTATATTATAATAATATTATAAAAAAGAATTTTTATTTAATTTAATTAATTAACTTATATAATAAAAGCTTAAAGTTAATTAAATAAATATAAAATATTATTAATAATTAATAATTTAACCTTTATAATAAAAGCTTAACTTAATTATAAAAAATAATTAAAGATATTTAAAGCTTTTTACTTTATTTTATAATAATATAAGGGCGTTTTTAATATTATAATAAAAAAAGATAATACTTAATTTTAAAATAATAAAATAATAAAATATTAATATTATAATAATTTTAATAAATAAAGTTAAGTATTTTATATATAATTAACTTAATTATTATAAATATAATTATTTTAATTATTATAAAAAAATAAAAATATAGCTTTTATTAATTAAAATAAGTAAAGAAAAGAAATTTATTTAAAAAAATATAAAAGTTTTCTTATAAGATAAGGCTTAAAGTATAATTAGCTTAATGTTAACTTAAGCTTAAAGCATATTAATTATATATTAATTAATATAACGTTATAAAGCATACTTAACCTTAAAGAAAACCTTATTAAAAAAGCAAATTATTAATATATTAAATATTAATTAATTATAAAGCATATAATAACTTTATAATCTTAAAGCTTTAAATAAAAAAGCATATATAAATAATTTATATTAAAGGATTATAAAAATACCGCTAGCTTAATAATTAACTTATGCTTAAATAATTATTTTTATTATTTAATATATTAAATTATAAAAGCTAAAGATATATTAATTATAAAAAATAAGCTAAGCTTTTAATATATTTAAAAAATATTAAATATAATTAAATAATTAAATAAAAAGTAATATTTAATTTATAATTAAATTATAATATCCTTTATTTTTTATTAAATAATTATTTTTTTAAGCTTATTATAAAAATTTAAAAAAAGAAAATATATTATAATTTAAGCTTTATTTATTATAATTAATTAATAAGCTTTAGCTTTATAAAAATAAGCTTTAATATAAATATAAATAAAAAGTTATTATAAATTAACCTTAAATTATTTATTATAAAGTACTTAAATAAGGTTTGTATTTAAAATATAAAGAAAGAAATTTACTTTTTATTTATATTTATATTAAAGCTTATTTTTATAAGGCTAAAGCTTATTTATTAATTATAATAAGCAAAGCTTAAATTATAATATATCTTTTTTTTTAAATTTTTATAATAAGCCTTAAAAAGCAGCTATATAATAAAAAATAAAAAATATTATAATTTAATTATAAATTAAATATTGCTTTTTATTTAGCTATTTAATTATACTTTAATACCTTTTAAATATATTAAAAGCTTAACTTATTTTTTATAATTAATATATTTTTAACCTTTATAATTTAATATATTAATTAAAGTAAGTTAATAAAAGATAATTATTTAAATATAAGTTAATAATTAAATTAATAACATTTTTATAATCCTTTAATATAAGCCTTTTATATAAGCTTTTTTATTTAAAACCTTAAAATTATAAATTTATTATATAATTTGCAATTAATTAATGTTTAATTATAAGTAACTTACTTTATTAATAAGAATTTCTTAAATTTTAAGCGTTTTTATAACGTTAAATTAACTAATATATAGCTAGCTTGCTTTAAACTTAAGCTAGCATTAAGTTAACAATACTTTTAAGCCTTACCTTATAAAAAAAAATTTATACCTCTTTAAATAAGCTGTATTTTTATTTTCTTATAATAATTAAAGCAATTATACTTATAATAATTAAGTTAATTATATATAAAATACTAAACTTTATTTATTAAAATTATTATAATATTAATATTTATTACTTTATTATTTTAAAATTAAATATTATCCTTCCTTATTATAATATTAAAAATACTATAGTTATGGGCGTGCCATAAGGGGATAGCAGCACTGGGCATGATAAGCATTATGGGCAATTAGTATTAAAGCACCGGCAGGCAAGGGTTACGTGCTGCTATATATAACTACCCCTAAATAGTTTATAGCTAAAGGGAGGTTTTACAGCTTATGGCTATAACCTTCCTTCCTTTTATATAGCCGATTTAAATATAATTAATTACTATTAATTAATATATATTAACTTAATTAATATTAATTAATAATTGCTTATAAATAGTTATAAATAATAAAATAAATAAGTAATAAATTTATATTATTATTAATTAAACAATAATTATTAATAATAAGAATTATTATAATTAAGTTATAATATTTATATTAAATAATTAATATTAATATTATAAAGATAGGTAATTATTAATAATAAAACCTTACTTAATTAAGTATTAATAATTATATTATAATTAAAACTAATAAAAAGAAATTAATAATGCCTTAACCTTTTTATTATAAAGATTTAACTTATTAATTAATAAGTCCTTAATAATGCCTTAAATTTATTAATTATATAATGCATTTTATTATGCAATTAACACTAAAAATATTTATAATTACTTTACTTTAATATAAATAATAACTTATATTTATTTAAGTTAATAAATATTCTTTAATAAATACTTTTTTATTATATAATTAATACTCTTTTTTTATGCTTTAAAATAATCTTATTATATCTCCTTAATTACCCTCTTTCTTTTCCCCTATATATAAATTACTTAAATATTTTAATAGCTTAGTAAGATGGCTAAATTTAATAATAATGCTAAGGAAATACCCTTAAATATTAATAATACTTTTATGCAAAAACTTTAATTATTCTTTAACCTTAATAAAAGGTTTTAAAGCTAATAAATTAATTTTAATTATTAAAATAAATTAGTAATAAAAGCAAATAACATAATTAATTAAGTAAACACTATTATTCTTAAGTTTATAAAAAAAATAATAAAACGTTAAAATATAAATAATAATTTACTTTAATGCTTTATAAAAAACTTTGCTTTTTAAAATATAATAATATTTAAAAAGTTAATTATTATTTAAAACTTTAAGAAATTCCTTTAAAAAAAAAGAGTTAACATTAAAGAAAGCGCTAATAAGTAATATATTAATTTAAAAGTATTGCTTATATATAATAAGTATTCTTGTTAGATTAGGCGGTCCGCCACGGACTAACTGCCGAAGCATATTAAATAATTAATGCCTTAGGCAATAATACTAGCTTTAATAAAAAAGGCCCAACCACTAGAAAGGAGGGGGTCCGCTAAAATAAAGCAAAAGAAAATATAATTAAGTTATTATTAAAACCCATTTAATTATTAATAATATTAGTAATTATATATAATTTAATAATTAAAAGTTTTATTGCCTTAAGCTAATTTTATAATAATTAATTATTTTAATATTAAAAACCTTAATGCGTTTTTAGCGAAATTATAAGATTAAAATAATTAAAATTATAAATTTAAACTTTAAATCTAGATTTATAAACTTAAATTATAAATACTTAATAAAGCTTTATTCTTCTTTATTTTAAAAATGCTAAATATTTATTAAAAGAAATATATAAAGAAATTATATATATAATAATATACATAATTTTAAATAATAAATAATGAAGAAAAGGATAAGGAAATTATTTAAAATAAAGAAAATAATTAATAAATAATAAGCAACTTAATTAATAATGGGGCTAAGATATTTAATATTAATCTTTATTAATATAAATAACTTAAATTAATATATAAAAGGGAAAGATTATTTATAAAGAAATTTATAAAGTAAATATTAAGTATTATATTCTAAAAATATAAGAGCTATTATTATATTGCTAAAATCCCTTTATAAGAATAGCATTAAAACCTTAAGGTAAGGTATGGCTTATTATTAATAAATAAGAAAATGGAAATATAAGCAATATATAAAAGGGCTTTTAAGTTACTTAAAAACCTTAAAGAGGCTTCCTTTTAGGTAAATAAATGAGAATTAATTATAGCTAAGGGTTTTTAAAAGGGATTATTTAAAGCTAAAGATATAATAACATAAATTTTAAACTTATTATAAGTTATAAAGAGGATTTTG